CTCTACTAAGCGAAGAAGTCATTTTAGCTCTACCCTCTTATCTCCAGAGCTTCCAAATTAACCACTGAGAAAAACAAACATACATTTGAGTCTTTGTATAGACAAGGAATATTAAAAAAGTTTAAAAACAAAAAACTTACCGACAAAAAATTGCATTAATTTCTTTAAAAAAGTTTAAAAAAGGAAACTTCTCCATGAAGAAAACAAAATAATAGTCTAGCACTTATGGTTTATATATGAAGATGGGTGGAGTATACAATGAAGAATCATTTTCACGAAAATTTTTAACACCCAATCAACAGAAACAGAGCTCTAAAAAACAGAGCCAAAATGACTTTAAAAATCAAACGAAAATTTGGAAATTGAGCCTCTGTCAACAGACTTGATGTGAAATCCACTTGACTCTTACAGACTAACAAAGAAATTGAGCAGAGTTGAAGAGTCGTGAGCTAAAATTAGCTTAAAAAGGTAAAGAAAATTAGGGTTTGAAATATGATGAACAGTAAAGTAGCTTTAAACACATCAAAACAGAAAACGCTTGAAAGTTAAAGACTCTCTGCTTAGAGCAACAAGAGAAAAAGGGAAAAAATGATTAAACAAAAGCGAATCGTATGAAAAACTAAAGATGAGAAGTGAAAATTAAAACGAAAAATCGAAGTCTTACCAACAAAAACAGAGAAAGAAAAAACAGAGCAGTCACAGCGCTCTTTCGCAGACGATGCGGCTTTTGAGGTTTGAGTTCTTAGTGACTAAGGAAGAGAGAGCGACCTTTTTATTATAGAAACAGGCGGCATTTTCTAGATATAAGTACAGTAGCTTATCATGATAAGTACAATGCTTTATTATGTGGTCCATAGCTGATAATTAAGCCGACAGCTGTCTCTTCTTTGCTCAAAAGAAGACAATGACGGTTATGTTTTGGTGTAAGACCATTCTCATTTTTAAGCGCGTTTAAGACACCCTCCGTAGGAAAGGCGTTCACAAAATGAAATTTTTATTCTAAATATAATAAAAATTTATTTATTTGCAAATCATATTTGTTATACCTAAAAAATCAGAGTTAATATTAGCTTACGTCAGTAAGCACCAATCAGAGTTTAGGAAGATTTTACACCATCCAGAAGTTGTCACATTACTCCATAACATAAATAATATGACTGTCACCAACTTAGTAGATTTAGGTTTTGTCTATGAGTGACTGAGGACCGCACACATGTCAAAACCCTAGATAATTTAAGGATATTTCTTAAGTTATCAACTAATGAGAGGTAATGAAGGACTTGCATGGCACCTACTCACTTGTAAATTTGTAATCATTATCTTGAATTCATCTCCTATAAATAGAGGAGTTCCCCTCTCATTTTCGGGATTCTGATACTGAACTCTCATTCTGATTGTAAACTTTATTTTTAGAGCAAAAATAACCTACGGAAAAGATATTGACTTGATATTCTCTCTGAATACTCAGTTATTGTACCTCTGTTCGCTATACAGGACCTCTTATAATCTCTCATATATAAAATAAATAGTAGACGTAAGATTCGCTTTAAACATCCGAACCACTTTAAAAATTATATCTCTCATTTATAATTTAGTCTTTGTGTCTGATTATAATCGTTCACGTGTAATTTTTAAAAACAGTTTAATACTTTGTACGTGCGAGTCATTGATATCAAAATCACGCATCAATAATATTAAAGTGTAAGACTTGATGTGGTCACATGTCATAATTATGAAGTTCAAGGTGGTTTAAAGGAGTTATTAACTGTCTTTTTTTACCCTTGATGAGAGATTAAAGGTAGTTGATGGAAGATATAATCTTCTCCATCAAAGAGATATCACAAAAATACAAAAGGAAGAAAGGTTCTGGAAACATAGACTAGAAGACATCTTTTAAACACTCACTTACAGATCATTCACATTTTAACTTTTTACTTTAGCAATATAGGTGGAGATAAGTAATTAAATTTTGTATTACATTACATACGAATATTCTACCTAAAGGCCTTCAAATCAATTAATATAAAGATTGGGTTAAACTGTAATAAAATTGATTAGTTTTAAATATTTGAAAACCAGATTCGAAAAGCCAAACAAGCTGCTGTTTTGAAACGCACGTAGTGTGCACGCAGTCTAAAGAGCGTGAGAGATATTGGGTATACTTTAGCCAGTGCATGCATGACACTATCAGATGTAACGACAAATAAAAGTCTCAGGTGGTCCTGAGTGCTGACAACATGATACATAGTGGCTGTGGCCGAACATCTATAATGCTTCACTGACAGCAGGTAACACGTAGCTTTCTTGCCCCCATACTTGGAGCCTATTTTAATTCGAACCAATAAATACCTGATTCCCCCATACGGTTAAAGGGTGTATTTTTCTCTCATTGTTAAGTTTCTTCCTTACCAGTTTTTGGATATAAATTTTATCCAAATTTATTTTAACATGATATTAGAATCATTATATATATATATATATATATATATGTGATTAGACTCTTTTTTTTTTTTTTACCTAACAAAATTGAAATATATTTTATCATATAGAAAGAAAAAAAAAAAAGCAAGATTTTTCTCTTCGATTTTATTTATTTTATATTTTTAATAGATACCTTAATATGCATATTAAGATGACTCAAAAATATTTTTAATATTATTAAAAAATATTAATATTTATTTTTATAGTTTCTATGCAATATTTATAGCAATTTTCTATTTAATTAATAAATATAACTAATTTTTAAGAAATGAGCATTGTATTAACTCATGATATATGTCATCCATCTCGAAATTGTTGTATTAAGATGATTCAAAAAAGATAAAAGGATTATTTATTTCTTAATAATCATATCTTTAATTAATGGAGAGAAACTTACTTTGGTCAAAATTATGACCCCAATTAGAGCTTCAAATAGTATTCTTTTTATGGTAAGATGAAGTGATCTTAGTAATTTTATTTCAAAGATACTACTTCCTATTACTTGCCTTTGGTAACCTTAATTATTTCAAGCTTCAAGGTCTCTATAACCTGTTCTTAACCTTAAATGGGGTTGGTAATTAAGTCTTGAATTAATGTGAAGATAATAATTACATTTGAAATAATTTTTTTTTTTTAATTATTTTGCTGATATAATTAAAAGCTTACATAAAGTGGTTTTCTTTTTTACGCTTGTTTCCGTACATTTGTAGATATTATGTTTGAAATTACCGTGCCACGTGTCACAAAAGCGCGTAAATAAAGGACTTTACGACAACGTAGGCTCCACACGTTTTTTATTTTTCCTAAGTGACTTCCAGGATGGAGTGATGTTGTCAACAAATCACCTGTGCTGAAAAGTTTTTCACGCGCTCTAGAATAGGGCGTGTCCAACTCTTGTCGAGCGGAAACGATACCACGTGGTGGGGCTCATTTGTTAACATATCCTTCTTTTGTTTTTAATTTGAGTAGAACAATTTTATAAAATATAACTATTTAAATTTAAACTTTAATCACACGAGCAAGTATGCACTTTCATGTAATTTATGTATAATAAGTTTAAAATTTAGGGATATTATTAATTAGAGGACATTGTTTTATGAAACTGTCAGAAAAAAAGATACAAATTTTAAAATAGCTAAAAAAGGGACAAAATACTATTAAAATTTAATTCTTGAAAGGGGTAAAAATGGTATTTCTTAAATTTATAATATGTACATTTTATATTATTTTAAAATATCTCTACTTAAAAAAAAAAAAAACCAAAACTAAAAAAGTGTAGAAACCAAAATTAAAAAAATCCAAAACAAAAAACATAAATAAAATAAAATATAAATAAATGCATGGATAATAATGTAATTTAATCCTTTTCCGTTAAATTTAATGGTAAGTAAAGGAGTTTTGTCCATTTTCAAGCTATTTTTAAACTTAAAGTCATTTTTCTCTTTGTTTTTTAAAACATTGTCCTCCTATTATAATATCCCTTAAATTTATGAGTTCTAATCTAACAATAAATAAATTTTACTGTTAAATAGTGAAAGGAATAAATTTACGGGCTAATAATTTTATATTTCTTCGTAAATGTTGTGAAAAAATTATCCTCAAAGCATAACTAAAAATAAAGTAATTTATTGAATGAGATTAAATTTTTATTTTTTTGATAAAATTATATAAATGAATTAACTAAGAATGTTGAAAATTGGGATAATTAGAGTAAATAATTCAAAGAAATGGTAAAGGATATGATATAATAGGAAATTAGGAAGGGATGCAGAGCAGCACAGAGTGAGAAAGTGTTCCTCAAACGCCCAAAACAAAATTCATTATTTGTCACACCCGAACCTGTCTCCATACCGACCCACAAATGAGGCCACCATGAGCACTATGAATAATATTTTAATTAGCTTTAATTAATTGATAAAAAATAATTGACTTATTTTATTATTCTTTATTAGTCATGGATGGCATATCTTAGTCATACTCAACAATATTAAGTTGAAAATGCTTATAGGACTTACCATTACAGAAAGAATTAGGCCCGTGCTTAGTCCTTAAACCCATATTAATGGGCCCATCTTAAAATTATAGTCCCGCTCACAGTCACAGACCCAATTTTGCAAACATTGTGTTAAGATTTCGAATTCATAATTCAGTAGCTGAATTTTATAATCTTTTTAATGTATTATTTTATTTTTAAAATTGAAAAAAAAAATACAAAAATAAAGATGAAAAAAATACAAATTTTGTACCTATCTTCTCCTTAATTGGATAACGTAACGTCAAAGTTATTGAGCAAGACTGCAAGACTCTTGATTTTGATTCCCCTTCTCTTTAACGACGTCACTCTCCACGTGTTGCCCGTTTATCGTCAACTGGTAGGCCCGACTCGTATATAAGCCCAGTGGCTTATCAAAACCACACCAGACTTATCAGTATAACCACTCGTGCTTATATTATCTCGTACACATCGCCACTCTTATATAATCAGTTTCCTCTTCACTCCATGTCTTAACTGCGATGAGACTACTCAGAGCTAGAGAGAGGAAGTAAAGATTGTCTGATCTGAATTTCTTTTTACTTAATTTGATCTTCTTTCTTTTTCAGGTCAGCCTTCCTCTGATTTTTTTTTTTTCTTTTGACACTTCAATTATATATATATATATATGTTCGAATTCGATCTTAAGTGAAGATAATAAGTGCTGGTTTCATATCCGATCAGAACTGATTTTCAATCTTTTTTTTCCGGTTTCTTCGTTGATGGGTGATTTTCTAACCTTAAATTTATTTAATTTTGATAATCGGAAGATCAAAAGCTGAATCGGTTGATTTGAGATCGAATTGCTTTGATTAATTGGTCGATTATCACTTCTTTGTCACAGTAACTTTCTCATATTGCTATCTCGATCTTTACGATTGTCTTGTCTGGATGGTGACTGCTTTGTTGTTTGGCTGAAGAACGGTTACCTGAGTTTCGCGTTACTTTACTTACTATTTTTTTTTTTTTTGGTTCTTTTCGTGTTATTAAAACTCTTGCCCTTTGTTTGGTTGCATAGAAAATGGTGAAAATTATCCAATGGGATTATTATTTAGTTTAAATTTAGAAGATATGAATCTTAAACCAGCTGACGATGTACATGGTTGTTTAATGCTAATTTTCTTTTTTACTTTTCTGAGGTTTTTTACTTATTTGCTTATTTTATTTTTTAAGATGACCAGTCTTTAACATCTTTTGTTACACATGCTTGATCAATCACTTGACAGTTAGCTTGTTGAGAAGATAAAGATAAATAGAAAAGGATAATTAAATTTTGATAAGTGTGTCCTTGATCAAACGCCCAAAGGATAATATTTAATTTTGTTGCCTTCTTTTTTGTGTATTAAATACTAGAGGATCAGGTTAACTTAGAAAAGTCTGATACTCTCTAAGTTGTTTATGTAGAAATTGTGAGTAAGAAAAGGCGATAAAAGAGACAAAAGTTTTTATTATTTGTACTCCATTATTTCTCTTAGCATTCAACTAGAGTCTAACTTGATTTCAAGGTTGATTATTTACGTGATTGGTTATTTATGTTTATCAAATTTTCTGATTTAAATTTGTTTGCAGGTTTTGGTGGTGAGAAAGACTGTCGTATAGATGCATTCTCTTACCCAAGAGCTTGTTTTTTTAATCTTACAGTTCCTTGATGAGGAAGGTTATAAAGAAAGTGCTCACATGTATGTTAATCTTTCATCTCTAACCCACCCACTCATGTATGCACGTTTTTATACCTTCAAATTCTCATGCTTATTTTGTAACTTAATCATGACCATCTGGTGCGCAGGCTCGCGCGTGAAAGTGGATATTTCTTTAACTTAAAGTTTTTTGAGGACCTGGTACTTGATGGGAAGTGGGAAGAGGTTGAGAGGTATCTTTCTAGTTTCACAAAGGTTGATGACAATAGGTACTCAACCAAAATCTATTTTGAGATCAGGAAGCAGAATTTCCTTGAGGCATTGGACAGGTAATTTCACACCCCCCCCATTTTTTTTCTTTTTTTCATAAAGATTCCAAATAATCATTCTCATGCAGATCTTTTGTTACTAGCTCTGTTTCTAATGAAAATGGTTGATTATTTTACAGTCACGATCATGCAAAGGCGTTAAATATTCTTATGAAGGATTTAAAAGTTTTTGCTCCTGAAAATGAAGAGCTGTTCAAAGAAATGACTCAGCTCTTGATATTAGACGATATAAGGTATATGATTTCTATAATATACTTTTTTTCATTTTAGATTGTGACTGTAGCATAATAAGATGAGTTTTGTGTGTGTGTGTGCTCCATAGAGAACATGAGTCTCTCTCAATGTATGGAGATACAAAGTCAGCGAGGAAAACTATGATGTTGGAATTAGAGAACGTAATTGAGGCAAATCCTCTTATCCGTGACAAATTGAAATTTCCAAGCATCAAAATTCATAGGCTAAGACGTCTCATCAACCAAAGGTAATGAATTTCTTCTCTTTTCTGGACTTACAAATTTTATGTTCCTTACATACATACATATATACATATATTTTCTAAAAGAGAGTAGTGAATTGGGCTAGCAGCACTGATATATCAAAATTATTGTGTAAATCTCTTTACCATAGCTCTTGCATCTTGGATATTTTCACTAATTCTAGGCATACTTTTTTGGGCATTAAGAGAGAACTAACACAGCTTGTAAATTGACAGCCTAAATTGGCAGCATATACATTGTACAAATCCTCAACCAAATCCTGATATAAACACCCTTTTTGTGGATCATGTTTGTCAACTTCAAGACTCTTATTTATTAGCCCTGCCAATTGAAAGCAATTCTCTGGTAAGATCCAAACACAGGTGGTTTTATTTTATATTTTTTTATGTACACATGGTTCTATTATACGTCATGATCAAGCCAGTTAGTTTTCTGTTTTCTATTATCTGTAAAATTTTGTTCAAGAATTGTTAAATTCTACATGTTTAGCCTTCTCAAGCACCGGCAGTGCCAGTTTCAGCTTCCCCAGAAAGTTGGAATCCTAGTCCATCATCAGTAACTTATTCTGCAGTTTCTAAAGAGGCATTCTCTCTGGTTAGTCCAATAAATCCAGGTAGAGGATTTGGTTTATGCATTATGTTTCTGTTAGGTCTATAGTTTGACCTCATTTATTGGTATTATTTTTCCTATTAATCTTCTATTGCCTCTTGGTAGACCCAACTATGGATGACCCGGAGGATTCTGAGATTATCTCTGAGAAAAAGCTAGCTGGGTTCATGGACGGGGTAAAGCTGGTTAACTTTTACTGCAACACCACACAATTAAACCCCCTTTTATTTATTTATTTGTTTGTTTGGTACTCACGGTTCTTACTTAAATGTGTAGGTAATATCACCAGTCAACTCTCCTGGTTCAACTCACAGCACCCTTTTCAACATTCCTGTTGATTTGCCCAAGACAGTTGCACAAACATTGAATGAGGGTTCATCTCCAGTGAGCATGGATTTTCATCCTGTTCAGCATACTTTACTTCTAGGTCTGCCCATGAAATTCTGTTTGTAATTTTCAATTTTATGGTGGTTGTTAACAAGTGCATTTCAACCTGATGATTATTCATTATGTTGCTGTGTGATTCTTCAGTTGGAACCAATATAGGGGACATAGGATTGTGGGATGTTGATTCTCGAGAAAAATTGCTGTCAAGGAATTTTAAGGTTTGGCATATTGGAGCATGCTCAAGGTTATTCAAGGTTTGTTCCCTCCCTAACCAAAACAATGTTACATCTTGTTAAGAATGCATTATCCTCATCTAAAATTTGAATCAATTCAAATACATGCAGACAGCTCTGGTTAAAGATCCATTTGTTTCTGTTAATCGTGTAACTTGGAGTCCTGATGGGTCTTTGTTTGGTAAGTACAAAAGCGACTGGAAAATGCAGTCGAAACAATAGTTAGTTTTTTGATCGGATTTTTATTGCTCTTTTGAAACAGGCGTTGCATATTCAAAACATATACTCCAGTTATATTCCTACCATGGTGGCATTAACGTTCAGCAGAAATTGGAGGTAGCTTTAATGCATATACTGTCAGTTCAATAAGATTTGAGTGCCATATTCTTTGACCAATATTGATTTTTCTTTTCTACTAAATATTTAGATTGATGCTCACATTGGAGGTGTAAATGACCTAGCATTCCCTAAACCTGATGGGCAACTTTTGGTCATAACCTGTGGGGATGACAAGACAATTAAGGTTTTTTTTTTTTTTTTTTTAATTAATGGCCGAATATATACACAGAGAATTTTTTTACCTTATTTATTTTAGAGAAAGTGACTTTGTGTTTATTCATGTTTTTTCAAGGTGTGGGATGTGGTTAGCGGTGTCAACATGTATACCTTTGAAGGTCATGATACTCCTGTTTATTCTATTTGTCCTCATACGAAAGAACGTATTTCTGTAAGGACCTCTCCTGATTATATTCCTAGCATATTGTGGGGATATTATTGTTTGAGTTGATGACAAATGTCCATGTATGCTTTTATGCCTCAGTTTATATTCTCAACATCGGTGGATGGCAAGATAAAAGCATGGTTATATGACAATTTAGGAGCTAGAATTAANTATACTGTCAGTTCAATAAGATTTGAGTGCCATATTCTTTGACCAATATTGATTTTTCTTTTCTACTTAATATTTAGATTGATGCTCACATTGGAGGTGTAAATGACCTAGCATTCCCTAAACCTGATGGGCAACTTTTGGTCATAACCTGTGGGGATGACAAGACAATTAAGGTTTTTTTTTTTTTTTAATTAATGGCCGAATATATACACAGAGAATTTTTTTACCTTATTTATTTTAGAGAAAGTGACTTTGTGTTTATTCATGTTTTTTCAAGGTGTGGGATGTGGTTAGCGGTGTCAACATGTATACCTTTGAAGGTCATGATACTCCTGTTTATTCTATTTGTCCTCATACGAAAGAACGTATTTCTGTAAGGACCTCTCCTGATTATATTCCTAGCATATTGTGGGGATATTATTGTTTGAGTTGATGACAAATGTCCATGTATGCTTTTATGCCTCAGTTTATATTCTCAACATCGGTGGATGGCAAGATAAAAGCATGGTTATATGACAATTTAGGAGCTAGAATTAATTATGATGCTCCTGGTCTCGGGTGCACAAGAATGGCTTATAGTGCTAATGATCAAAGGTTTGCCTTACTAGGCCTTAACTAATGTTGAGTGCTTATTCAATTTCAGTGAGTGAATTGAAAGGTCACTGTTATAATTGAACACTTTTTCAGGCTTTTTTCATGTGGGACTACTGAGGATGGACAGTCGTTCCTTGTTGAATGGGATGAAAGTGAAGGTTCTATAAAAAGAAACTACCAAGGGCTCCGAAATGACTCTTTGTCTGTAGTGCAGTTTGATACAACCAAGGACCTATATTTGGCTGCTGGAGATGATCATATGATTAAAATATGGGATATGGACAAGGTTGAGCTCTTGACAACCATTGATGCAGATGGAGGATTACCTGTAAGTTGTTTAGGGATTTCAATGTCAAAAAAGTGTCATGTAGATGGGGGGTTGATTCTTCAATAAATTTATATTTCAAGCGGCAGCTTTAATCAAATTTCAATAATGTGTTCCTTGAGAAAGAAAAGGGTGACCTAAGTTGCACATCTATTTTTTTTTTTTTCTGATGTGAAGGCAAACCCACACATTCGCTTCAACAAGCCAGGATCATTGTTGGCTTGTATTGCAAATGAAAACAGAATAAAGATCTTGGCAACTGATTGTGGTCGTCCGTTGATGCATACATCTGATGGTAGTTCTGCTGATTCTAGAGATTTGTCTGATACTTTTAGGAAGGTTAGCATATTAAACCTTCTCCTACATTTTAGACAAAGATTTATCCTGCCTAATGCTTTTAATTTCACGCAGCTAGCAATCAATCCTATTTCAACTGCGGCTGGTGCTGGAGTCACTGATGCTGGTGTTCCTGTTGTGAGTAGTTTAGAGGGCACTCATTACTTTGTAGCTATTGCACCCATCTTAAATTGAACTCATGTCTTAGAAATTACCTTTGAAGTATACCTGATACATTTCTGTGCTGCAGATTGAGGACCAAACGAACTTGAAGAATGTGAAACCTGAAATTTTGGGAGAATCCAACTATCAAACTAAGGTTGGGAAGCCCTTAATTACTCGACCTTCTCAGTGCCAGTCACTGCGGCTCCCTTCCCATGTGAAAGCGAACATGGTTAGACAGTCTCATATTCTAGCAGTTTAGTCTTTATATATCATCATTTATTCTTCACTATTTCTTCTGCTCTGGCATATCTACCAAGTTATAAGTTGTCATCTGTGCTTTGTCTACAAGGTAATTGAATGCCTTGCATATGTTAGTAAATTGGTTGTACATAGTATTAAATGAAAATGAATCACTAACTTGACTTGAAAATTGCATTCGCTCATCTTGTATGCATGCTTTATTAGCATTAAAATACAATTGGAAATAAAGAAATCCACATCTCTCACTAGCTTCTTTCTTGCAATTGCAGATATCAAAGCTGATCTACACCAATGCGGGTAATGCCATTTTGGCATTAGCATCAAATGCCACTCATCTATTTTGGAAATGGCCAAAGAATGACCTGAACTTGAGTGGCAAGGTGAAGGGTCTTGAATTTAATAGTTATTCCTTTTCTTTTTTTTCATTCATATTTGTTGAAAGTTGTGATTGCAGTGATCATTGATAATGTCATTAAGATAAGATGTTAAGTGCAGGCCACTAGCAAGGTTCCCCCTCAATTATGGCAACCAAGGAACTGCTCACGACTTATGGTTAATGACACTACAGGCAGCAATCCTCAAGAGGTTGTGCCCTGTTTTGCTTTGTCCAAGAATGATTCATATCTCATATCAGCATCAGGAGGGATAATTTCCGTGTTCAACATGCTGACATTTAAGGTAACTCAAGAAATATGTGAACTGTAACAAACATCTAAAATTTATTTAGTACTCTGTCACACATATACTTTTCATTAACCATGGGTGAGTTAATTTTTTTTTTTTTTTTCCATTTTAGTGTACATAGTTTATAAAGCCTTTGCAGATGCCGTTGTATATCTAAAGTTACATCATAATATCATTTTTTTTCTTAAGTGTATAGAGACTGAAAACATATGTTTATACTGTTTTTTGAGAAATTGCATTACTACCCTTATGCAACATGGATCTTTGAGTTCTCTTTTATTTAGATTACTATTATTGACGCTTGCAGAGTGCTTGAAATTGGTGGGTTGATCAATTCTAACTGACTGTTTTCTAATTTTGGTGGGTAAACATAGACAATGATGACTATTATGCCTCCATCACCTGCGGCAACATGTCTGGCTTTTTTCCCTGGAGATAACAATATAGTTGCTATTGGCATGGATGATTCCTCAATTCTGATATACAATGTCCGTTTCAGTGAGGTATTTTACCCTCCTTTCTCACACAATATACAATGCTATTTCAAAAAGAGACTCTTAGGTGTTTTTGCATTATCACTTTCCCTTATGCAGGTTAAAAGCAAGCTTGAGGGGCACCATAAAAGAGTCAGTGGCCTTGCCTTCTCTAATGCTCTGGATATAATGGTTTCTTCTGGAGCAGATGGTCAGGTTAGATGGCACGCATACCGTGGAACATTATCATAATCTCATAAATGGCACCGTTGAGTTTCTCACTGAAAATCAAGAGTTTTATTTCTTACACTTTTTATAATTCCCATTTTCTCCTGCAGATTTTTGTGTGGAATGTTTACGATTGGGAAAAGCAGAAATGCAGATTCTTGCAGATTCCTGGTGGTAAAATGCCGGTAGCACTGACTGACACTCATGTCCAATTTCATCAGGACCAGACACACTTCCTTGCTTTTAATGAGTCTCATCTAGCAATATATGAAATCAAGGAATTGGAATGTCTGAAGCAGGTTTCTACATTCTCTCATATATAAGCAGGTGGTGCTTTCTAATTCACGGCCTGTTTATTGAGGATATAATTGAAAGTCTTCTGTTTTGTACTTACAGTGGGTAGCAGTAGGTTCATCATATATTTCCGGAGCCACATTCTCGTGTGATAGCCAGATGGTGTATGCAACCTTTTTGGATGGAACTGTGTCCATATTTGATGCTTTGAATCTTGAATTACATTGTCGCATTTTACGCACTGCTTACCTTCCTCCCACTACCAGGTATGTGACATTCCACGAGCTTCATACTGTAAAAGTTATTCTACTTACATGTTCCTTGTTAATAAGAATATTGGAATTCAGAATTAATAAAGTTCCTATGAGAGTATCTCTAATGGCTTCCAAACATTTATTCCTTTTAAATTCGGAATCGTGTTAAGTCAGTTGAAGATCTGAGCTACTTTTTCTTTCCTAACTTAAAACAAATCATGAATAATTGGGATTTGAATCCTATGTAGTTGAGACGTGCCAAAATTAGTCTTTGGGCCTTGGTTGGATCTCAACCTGCAGATATTCATACTTTAATCCCTTTAAAAGTCGTAAACTAGGCATTGAATCTGATGGTGTAATTTGGTTTGTGGTTGCAGTATTGAGGTGTACCCACATGCTATAGCTGCAAATCCTCAGAAACCAACTCAGTTTGCAGTGGGACTAACAGATGGTGGAGTTCATGTGTTTGAGCCTCAAGAACCTGTTGATAATTGGGTTGTGGTGACTCACACCAGATGATATACATAATGATAATGCAGAGATGTAGAAAATGTATTTATGTATGTCCTAGTTTAAGTAAGTAAATTGAAAAGCTGAGCAAAGAGCACAGACCAAAAACATCATGTTGGGAATAATCCCCATGTTTATGTTTTATCCAAAGGACCAAATGTCTTTTCTTTATTAATTAGCTATATTATCAACCCAGATGCTGATGCTGATTCTGATGCTGGTTATGAGTATTGTGTGCGTTGGCAGTGGTTCCGCAAACTCCCACCAATTTACAGCTTATCATATATGTATCTGATTATTACTACATACGTGGCTTTAATCTATGAGATCACTCATAAATCAATACACACCTCCACCTTGAGATGAGAGACAAACCTAAATACACAATATCGTGATTTTGACTATCTTCTTATATAGAATTTATACTAACAAACCCCACATTAAAATGAAAGAAAAAAAACCTGGGATTGAGTAGGTTGTAAAGAAAAATTTGCCAGCTCTGTTTGCGATAGAGCGGCCCCCACCACCCACTATCAAAATAATGACTTCACACGCGCTTCCGTAAACGTGGTAGCCGTCAGCGTTTCCCTGGGGACGTTGACTTCAACCGTTCAACGAAACCCTAAGGAAATGTCTGTTTGTCCTTCACATATTCCTTTGCCACCCTAATCCGTTACTCCTTCTAATCTCATCGTTTCTTTATAATCAATTTTAAAGTTTCTGTAATTAAAGCGGGTGATTTTAAATCGAAATTTTTTAATTAATTATGGGGAAGCCAACTGGGAAGAAGAAGAATCAAGAGACGGCTTCTCCAGCAACAACACCGAGACATGGTGACATCAAGGCTAAGTCAACGAAACCGACGACGGATCGACCCAGCTCAAAAGCCTTCGATGAAGACACGGCGATGTTCATAAGCATGTCACAAGAGCTTAAAGAAGAAGGTAACAAACTCTTTCAAAAACGTGACCATGAAGGCGCCATGTTAAAGTACGAAAAAGCTCTTAAACTGTTGCCTAAAAATCATATTGATGTTGCTTATTTGAGAAGTAATATGGCTGCTTGTTATATTCAAATGGGACTCGGTGAGTATCCACGTGCAATTAATGAGTGTAATTTGGCTTTAGAGGTTTCACCCAAGTATAGTAAAGCTTTGTTGAAGAGAGCTAAGTGTTATCAGGAATTAAATCGGTTGGATTTTGCGTTTAGGGATGTTCATAGTGTGTTGAGCATGGAACCTAATAATTTGTTGGCGTTAGAGATTTTAGAGAGTGTTAAGAAGAGTATGGTTGAGAAGGGGATTGATATCGATGAGAAAGTTAAAGAAATTGGTTTGGATAATAGTTTGGAGATTCAAAGTGCTTCTCGTTTGCGTAGAGTGGTGAAAGAAAAGTTGAAAAAGAAGAAAAAGAGTGGTAAAAGTGAAGAAAAGAAGGATGATAATAAGGCCACCGTGAAGAAGAAGGTTAGTGATGTTAAGGATAAAGAGGTGGTTAGTAAGAAGGTGAGTGATGTTAAGGTCAAAGAAGTGGTTACTAAGAAGGTGAGTGATGTTAAGGTTAAAGATGCGGTTCCTAAGAAGGTGAGTGATGTTAAGGATAAAGAAGTAATCAGTAAGGTGGTAGAGGAAGAGCCTGAGGTGACAAAAGCTGTTAATAAGGAAGAAAAAGTGGTTATTAAGACGGTGAAATTGGTGTTTGGGGATGATATAAGGTGGGCACAGTTGCCGGTGAATTGCAGTATTAGATTGGTGAGGGACATAGTGCGGGATAGGTTTCCGAGCTTGAAGGGTGTTCTTGTGAAATATAAGGATCAGGAGGGTGATTTGGTCACAATTACCACTACTGATGAGCTGAGATATGCTGAATTGTTGGGTAATTCTCAGGGTTCTCTTAGATTGTATATCGCTGAAGTTAGTCCTGATCAAGAACCTGCTTATGAGGGCATGGGCGATCAGGAAGAGATTCATGACAGCAAACAGGAACCAAGTAATTTTGTTGAGAATGGGAAGGTGGAGACAGGTGTAAAGAATGAAAAAGGGCTGACTTGCATCGAGGACTGGATTATTCAGTTCGCCCGACTGTTTAAAAATCATGTGGGGTTTGATTCTGATGCCTATTTGGATCTTCATGAACTTGGAATGAAGCTATACTCTGAGGGGATGGAGGATACTGCAACAGATGAAGAATCTCAGGAACTTTTTGAAATTGCTGCTGATAAGTTCCAAGAGATGGCAGCTCTGGCATTGTTCAATTGGGGAAATATTCACATGTCGAAGGCAAGGAAGCGGATCTTTTTCCCAGAAGATGGTACGCGAGAATCCATACTTGTTCTGGTTAACACTGCCTACGAGTGGGCAAAAAATGAGTACATTAAGGCAGGAATCAGGTATGAAGAAGCTCTGAAGATCAAACCAGACTTCTATGAAGGTCTTCTTGCACTTGGGCAACAACAGTTTGAGCAAGCAAAGCTTTGCTGGTACCATGCAATTGGGAGCAAGATTGATTTAGAGAGTGGGCCATCCCAGGAGGTCCTGGAGCTTTATAACAAGGCTGAGGACAGCATGGAGAAGGGCATGCAGATGTGGGAGGAGATGGAGGAGCAGCGTCTGAATGGTCTATCCAAATTTGACAAATACAAAGATCAGTTGCAGAAATTGGGGTTGGATGGATTGCTTAAAGATGCATCTACAGAAGAAGCTGCAGAGCTGGCTACAAATATGAGTTCACAGATATATCTTTTGTGGGGTACCATATTGTATGAGCGATCAGTTGTTGAATATAAGCTAGAGCTTCCAACTTGGGAAGAATGTTTGGAGGTTGCTGTTGAAAAGTTTGAACTTGCTGGAGCTTCTCCAACAGATATAGCTGTCATGATAAAGAACCATTGTTCCAATCAAAATGCACTGGAAGGTAAACAAAATACTTTTACATTCATGTTGCTCATCGGAATTGCTTTCATCCTCAACTTTTGAAAGCTTTGGAATTAGAAACATCTAACCACTGTGCAAATTTTGCAGGTTTAGGCTTCAAAATTGATGAGATAGTACAGGCATGGAATGAGATGTATGATGCTAAGAGGTGGCAGATTGGTGTTCCATCTTTCCGACTAGAACCATTGTTCCGTCGGCGGGCTCCGAGACTTCATTATATGTTGGAAAATATGTGAAATTTTTGGCTTTTGGTTGGCTATTCTTTAAGGGCATTGAATATATGCTGCTATTCCTTTCGTTCATATTTCAAGAGCTATGTTGTTTGTGTCTTAAATAGGTAAGACAATGTCTATCATTACTCTTGTTAAATGATAGGAATTCCCAATTACCTTGTCTTTTAACTGTTTGACATGTTGGCTTACTGCTGGTGATGAGGCATTATGTTGATATAACATCAAACATTGACATACTACTATGTGTTCGGATTTTGAATTCTACTTAGGTTTATATGGAGAATATTTTAAGGTTTCTGAAAGCTCATTCTACTATGGAATTACTGGATTAGGGTTTTTTATTATAATTAGCTTGTAGTTCACATATTTCTCCGTAGTGATTTTACAGAGCTGTGTCGACAAATTTGACTATAGATCAGAGTTTCTGTGACATTTATAGAAGTAGTCTTGTGTTAAAGGAACTGCACTTGTTTGTTCTCGTTTTAGTATCACTTGTATTCACAATCATTTCCTGGTTTTGTTATATTTCAACATTTAGTTCTCTTTGGTTGGACCTATAAGTTACATGTTCATTGAATTGAGTGTAACCCTTTTGTCTTTGCTCTTGATTTCAGGTGTTTATTTTTCTTCATAGACAATCTATGTCGAGCTCGATGTTTTGGGAGCAGCGAGCAAAGTGTCAGTTTTATAGAAGTGAGTTTGTGACTGGGCTGTAAGGCCGTTTATATCAATTTTCTTATATCCCCAATATTTGTTGGGAGGAAATTCATTACAGTGTAATTGGTTGGTTATTCATAGTTTGAGTTTTGAGTTAGTGGGTATATGATTTGAATTGTTTGAGAATTTGAGATAGTGGGCATAAGATTTGATTTGTTCATTATTTATTATAGATTGTAACAATTTTTGGGTGTTGTATGGCAGTGTAATTCTTTTATGTAATTGGAAATTTTGAACAGTTTGATGTTGAATTCATTGGCATATTCAGAAATAAAGCTGGTGTTCATTTATGTTTACAGTGGCAATTCAGAATTTGACACTATTTGTACACTTGTCTGGAAGGAATATAAATATGGCTTTAGCACATTCAACTTAATCTTCAAGTATGGGCAAGCAGCTTGTTCATTGATGGGATACTGAATTTTGTGATTAAATATAAACCCATCTTGTAGAAGAAACTAACATTTAATCATTTTCGTGTCAAGAAAAAATTAATATTTGGTTGTTCAATTCTCAATTGGGGTTATATATTTCTCAAACACAAGATCTTTGGATAACCAGATGGTTAAAGTTTTACTGTCTGACCAAAAGGCTAATGTTTTATTTACATTCTTTCTTAAATTTGACATTAATTAAAAATAAATCTTAATTTATATCCTAATCTTTAAAGTTTATTTTTGGTTCAAAATTCATTGGCAAATCAAAATAATAAAGTAGGTGTTGAATCAGAAGAAAGGTTGCAACGTGGCAGCTGCTCTCTAGTACACATGTTTATGATTACATCCACTCCATGTCCTATAGGGATAGTGGAGAAACTGCACAATTCTCATTAACAATTGAACTCCAACCTTGGTCTTAGTTTCACAGAAACATAATAAATATCTCTTCTCCTCACCTATTTTCGTTTTCGTGTAAGAAGTCATTATAGTTAGTTGAGAAAGAGAGATAAGAGAAAGAAGTTTTAATCCCAAGCCAAACCAAACTAGCTTTACCTCTTTCAATCTTCCCGTAGCGTAAGTCCGAGTACCATGTGGCTATTAACATTCAGAAGTATGCGAGTGAAGTTAAAGCTTGATCTAAGAGATAAATTTCGGAAGACAGACTTAAGACTCATTTCTTAACATCAACTACTACCTGTGAAAGGACATTTCTGTAGAGCATTTAAAAAAATCACTGCTTAAGTTTATTTAATGAAGAAAATTAGAATAGTTGAAGTTCTCTGAGATGGATTTTTTTTTTAATAAGAAAAGGTAAACCAAACAATTGATGTTTTGGATGAAGTTACCGTTGTTGATAGTTTGGGATGGAGCCCGTGGAGGTAAAACAATTGAAGAAAATGAAATCTGTGTGTTTAAGATTACAGACAATATTTCAGTTGCAATTATTTTTATTAGCTGTCCAGTGCTACAAGAGCATCGGTTCGGTTATTTTTCGGGGCAAACAATGCTTAGTAATGTAATTCTCTACTGTAACTTAAATATATTGTCCTAAAGTTTAGGAATAGATTAAGACTGTGTTTGGAAGCATAGAATTGGAATTGTAAACCATGTTCTCGAAGAAAATTAGAGAATTGCATCTCCAATCTGCTCAAATTCATTTTCAAAACGCCAATTCACTGTCATCAAACAATGTAAGCTCTATTATTCTTTTCTATCTCTTTTTCAGCTAAAAGATTAGCAGAAGAGCTTGATGGTTGGCTCAGGGCAGCTGGGCTGCCCAAATCTCCAGAAGTAAGGGCTGTGATTGCTCCGTAAGTTAATATGGACTTTTATTTTGTTTCTCTTAAAGCATCAAAAGTAATTAAATGTAGTCCAGCGGCATTAACTTGTTTATAATTTTTTGGTGTTGAATTGGGAGTGTAGACATGCAGGTTATTCATATTCAGGTCGCGCTGCAGCCTATGCATTTGGAAACATAGACCCAACTAACATGTGCGTATTTTTCTTGTTAATCTTCTACTTGCACCTTGTTTACAAAACATGGGTTCTAACAAACCACCGTGTGGTACATCCAGACAGTCCTAATGTGAGATGAACATGCTGTAGTACTCGTCTGTCAGTTAACCGATTCTTTACAAAATTATATATTTAATTTAGCTGCTAATTTTAGTGCTAAAATGTGTAAATATTTACAATTTCAGTTCTCGGGTATTCCTTCTTGGTCCATCTCACCACTATTACACACCAAAGTGTGCTCTTTCTGCAGCCACAGTTTACAAGACTCCTTTAGGCGACCTACCTATTGATTTGGAAGGTATCATCATTTATATTTCAGTTATATTAGACTCATTGTATTCTTCCAAAGTTTTGGCATAGGAGTTAACTTAACAATCAATGATACAAGTTCTTTTTCTTTCTTTTCAATGTAAAGGAGGGCTTATGTAAGTTGCTCTGGTGAACTTGGTCTGCTTAAGTTTAACACCACATGTATGTTTTGGTGTGATTGTTAGCCTTGGTTCTTTTTATGCATGTGCTTTTTTGCTTGATTGGGTTTTGAGTTGTTTGAATTTTCCTATCTAACATATGTATGTCCTAATTACTTTTTTAATCAAAATTGATTAACATTTATTTTTGAATCTCAGTCAATGAGGAGCTAAAAGCTACAGGAAAGTTTGAATTGATGGATATTCATGTTGATGAAGCTGAACATAGCATGGAAATGCACTTGCCATATCTTTCAAAAGTATTTGAGGGGTAATTAATGTTTGTTAATTTCTATTGTTGTTCTTTTTTTATTTTTTTGCCCCTTCTGCGGATGACTTTGTTAATACTGATATAGGCACCCAGTAAAAGTTGTGCCCATTCTTGTTGGTGCTCTGAATGCTGAAAATGAAGCAATGTATGGAAGGTTGTTAGCCAAATACGTGGATGATCCGAGTAACTTTTTCTCCATATCCTCGGATTTTTGTCACTGGGGTTCTCGGTATGTTCCATTCACAAATCTGCTTAACATCTGGTTTTCTTTGTTAACTTTACATTTAAATTATTTTCTTTACCTTCCTAGATATCTGTATTATATCCATGTCTTAGTGGAAGGTTTTTTTACCCTTTTACATCTCACCTTGAGATTCACCTTGCTCCCACATGTAATATGGATGTAAATAATTAAATATGTAGATTGGGATCAAGTTTTTTTCTGTTATCATAACTGTTCTGTAATCCTATCACCAGTGCTTGCCACAGACCATTTCTTAGATTAAATGTTGCATTGCTATATCAAATGTCAATTTTTTAATTTACTTGGGAGCTACTTTTTCAAAGAAGAAAATTACTTGGTTAACATGATTCCTCTGCATACTCTATGAATCTTAGGATTTCATTTTGATTAGCATGTGAACCAACAAAAGAGTGACTGATCTTATTTAAAGAATCCATAATCTTTGGATGGTTATATAACATGAGGTTTATGCAAATTGCTTGTACATAATGTATACATGGAGTGTTTAGTTAACTTGGTTTTTTCACTGATCTGGTTTATGCCTTTGGTTTTAGGTTCAATTACATGCACTATGACAAGAAATATGGGGCCATACACAAATCTATAGAGGCATTGGACAAAATGGGCATGGATATAATAGAAACAGGAGATCCAGATGCATTCAAACAGTATTTATTGGAGTATGACAACACAATTTGTGGACGCCATCCAATCAGCGTCTTTCTCCATGTAAGTACCTTAATTTTTCTCGGAATTCACTAGAAGGGCTTGTCATAGGATCTTTTTGGCCTTCGGCCCATGTAAATTTCCATCTAATTCCTGCACAAAAGATTCTCTTTCATATCTATGCTTCGTACTTAGTTGTAAATTGATTCTGAGAAAATCAAACCTTGCTTAGTAGTGTAGGGATTACTTCTATTCAAGAATAACAAGGTCAATTGATTTTGCTAACTTTAATACTAATCATTCAATATTTTCAGATGTTGAGGCACTGCTCAACAAAGATAAAAATCAAATTCCTTCGATATGAGCAATCAAGCCAATGCAAAAGTATGAGAGACAGTAGTGTAAGTTACGCGTCTGCTGCAGCAAAGGTTGATGCTTAAAGCTACATGAAAATACGTGGATTTACTTGTATGGTAACATTAAGCAAATTAATGTCCTTTGAATTGATTGTCCTAATTTACTACTTGCATTTGCAATAACAACATTGCGGATTCCCTGTTTATATGTTGATACCAGTAATGGAACTTACAACCACAACCATCTTTTTTCAGCTTTGTGAGGACTATTTTCATTGTGGCTCTCACTGGCAGACTGCCTGCCAATAATGCCATAGTGACCATTGATTCTGCTGCACATTCACCGTGCAACATTATTGGGTGGTGCCATGGTGATATGATAATGTAATTGCCATGTAAGAAAAGTTATGATATAATACATAATATCAACATGACACATCTAGGATGCTTCTCTTAAGTATTTGACATAAAGGCACCATGCACACGCTCATACATAAATACATCTTTTAAATATACAAAATACACTGGGAACAATTCTGAAACATTCTCATTGGGTTACAAAAAAAAAGAGGTGGATCAACCTAACTTGTCCAAGACATTGTCTAGATGTTTCATTGAAATATATGTATGTACAGGTATAAGTATCGACCTCAACGTGTACATGTTACGTATACTAATGTTCGTCAACTGCAACATCTAAAAAGGAAGTTAGCAGTTTGATTGTACAACAGGTTCCGATTCTCCCAGCGATTGGCAGAGAGCAGAAGCAGTAGGTCAGTCGTTTATCTTGCTGTAGCAGCAAGAAGAAAATCTTCATGGGTCAAGCTTCAAAACTTCCTTGCTCGTTGACTGCTCCACCTCAACTCACAAGAAACCCTAATCACAGAATTAAAAGGCTGATTACTGCAAATTCTTGAGACTATACTCCGACACATAATGGATTAACATAGGAATCGTGCAAGGGAGCAGTTATTTGCACAGTTCCCACAGCAAGATAAAAATCCCATGATTCCTGACTCCATAGGTTGAGCAATGTCCCTTTCCCGTTTGTGCAAAACTCTAACAAACTCTTCTGCACTTAGGTTTCCATCACGATTTGTGTCAAACACCTGGAAAATGATCTCGATCACATTGTCCGTGAGTGATACACCACAAACCTAATATTTGCACAAGACCACTCAGTCAAAATGTTCAACGTAGAACTACTGGTATATGAAATCTCATTGTCTAATTGTAATACTGCTGTCACTACACATGAAATGTCAAAAATATTTAAAATTATTTTATTAGTTATCTCAGAAGGAGAATCAAAGCAATAAATAATGATCCAGAGTCTTACATAGGATGCAGCTCGTTGGAAGTCCTTCCGGGTCAACAAGCCATTTACTTCCCCATAACTAAAAAGGGCCAAAGCAAATGGCTGCAACTTTCTTCGTAGCTCTGCGAAACTTTTGAACTCATCAAATGTAATGCGTATTTCTCTAAGATGTGGCTCACTCTTTAATTGATCAACCCGATTAAGCAACTTGTTTATGTGGCCCATATCAGCAGAAGCAACCATGGACAACGCAAAGTCCTCAGCTGATATGGTTTGTCGTAACTTATAATCATAATGATCAAACTCCAATCTCAGCATCTACAAAATAGAATGAATTATTCTTTGAACTACGACACAAACATCAATCACAATTTGATAGATAAAAATAACATTAAATTGTGAGGTTCAGTTAGGCAGATGGTTAAAAAATTTAAAAGTAATAATAATAATAATAATAATAATTTGGACAAGAAAGAAAGAAGAGGGAACAAAGCTTACTTCATCATGCAAATTTCCCAAAAATTCAACAAATTTATCATGTTTTAGACGTGCATCTCCATTTTCACCAAAGAAATATTCCACCAAACCCCCATTTTCCACAGAACCATTAACCTTTAGCCCAATACGAAATCCTTCCCTGTGGAGAGCCCCTTGTCTGTTATGTTTTCGCATCAATGCCATCACTTTCTTAAATTCTTCCTTATTAATATCCCTGCATACATATTGAGAATAAACACAGAGGAAAGAGGCAGTAAGCATGACAGCACATTAATGATTATCAAACTACATTCACTATCCTAAAGTGGTTATGCGGTTTGCAGTAACAGCAACACTTCAAGAAGAGAATGTATTTCAACTCCTAAATGCATCATATGAGTGAAGTTAATCTAGTTATTTCATTTACAAAGGATGGTGATACAGATATTCATGCATCTACTTGTACAATAAGATGACTTCCTAAGTTTCAAAAAAAAGAAATGGTAGTTGTATTCATTGATCTACTATGGCTGTAACAAATAATAGGAAACAAAGACAAATATTCAAGAGAAGAGAATGGCAAAGGAGGAGAAAATCAATACAATATGAATACTGATAAGCCATAAAATGTGCTTTAGATTTGTTCAATTTGAGTTCTTCTAATGAGCTTCATCATGCAGGATAATGCTCATAAGAACATAAAAACAAAGATGGAGTAAACAATCGAAAAACAATTTTAGAATCAATGGGAAAAAAGTAATTGAGGCCTTGTCACCTTATTGATAACAACTTAGAGCCTGCCATTTTCTATGAGATGACATATGAATCTACAAAATTAACTTGGCAAAGATATATTTAGGGAATATGGATAATATATTGTGATGACAGATTTTTGAGGAAACAAACCCATTGTTGTCAATGTCAAACATCTTGAAGGCCACAGAAAAGCGTGATTCTGGTATGCTGAGTAGAGTTACAAAAAAGATGTACCTGTTCCAAGAATAAAAAACGAAAATTAAACCTCAAAAAGGAGACTTACACTAAGGGCATCTCCATATTTGCTGTACGACATGATCTATTAAAGTGGCAACTTACTCTTTGAAGGATATATGTCCATCATTGTTCACATCAAAGAGCATAAAAAATTTTGAAGGATCGCAGCGTAAATCCCCAGGACTCCTTTCCCCTCGTAAATACCCATCTCTGACATAGTTGGATTCAGATGGAGGGAAAACAGGAACAACTGCTCGCATTAAATCTGCTGGTGTCATAAGTAATTCTCCTTCTGGTGATCGTACTGATGCAAAGTACTCAAAGACCTTCAGGAAATGCCAGCCCACTCAATGATTAGACAGTGTCTCCAATGGTTAGCTAAACTTTTAACTGAAAAAGCAACAGGAACATCACCTAAAACCTCTAGTGTTTAATAACCAAGACTACCATCAAGAATTAAAAAAAATATATAAAATTATGAGCATAGATTTAACATGAAACTCATAATAAAAAGATGCAGGGCATTGAAGTCTGCCTGCATCACTCTCTAAAAGCAATCTCACAATCCACAATCATATAATTTAGCTGAACAACGATCATCATAGTAATGAAAACACACACCCACAAAAAAAAAAAAGGCACAGGGACTACACTTATGAACTAACAATATACAGATATAAATCAAACAGAGAATGAAAAAAAAAAAGACGTGGTAACATTGGGAGTATCAAGCCGATTTGTATATTTACTTCATTAGTGTAGCACTACTCCTTTATTTTGCTTCCACTGAAGCATTGTTGATCCAGAGTACTAACAAATACATTATTTGATTCTGATAGAAAATATTTCGAATGTTATCAACAAAAACTTCAAAACGTCATATGAACTAAAGAGTTTCATAAACAACTGAAATGAAATTACCTTCTCTGGAGAACTTCGCAGTCTTATTCGCTTTTCATAATTGAAGAAAATCTTTCTCCTAAATGCCTCTGCAATCAAATCATCCCAAATAATAACACTTAATATAAACATTGCCTTTATTTAAAAATCATAATACCATTCATTTATTATTATCACCTCCAAAGAGAAAGGTAGAGCTGTAATCAGGCAGTGACAGTTTTCGAAATAAGGAACTACCGAAAGAACTGAGATCATTATGCACCGTAGATTCATCGGTCACCGTTGACGTTGAACAGTCAGAGAAAGTCAATAACTGCTTCGTAAAATCTGAATTACAGGTATAAGACCAGTAAAGTAACCCCAGGCTGGAGCCGATTGTGATCCCCGATAACCATGTAATCAGAGAACCATAACCGGAATCTTTGTCACAATCTACGGCACTGATCAGGGACCGAGGAAAGGATGGAGATTGTGGCGGGACGGACAGCTGGCGGATTTGGAGACGTTGGATCAGAGACAATTGCTTGAGGGACGTTGAGGATCTTCCGAGAAAAATCATCGCGAGATTCAGGCTATCTAGGTACCGGTAAATTAGAAAGTGAAGAGAAGAAAACCAGAAATGAAAGGCAGGAGAAACAGTGTTCTGTTTTTGTTTAGTTTTGGACAGTAAACGACGGCGTATCTTCTCTTTAAATTAAAGCTTTATCACACCAACCATTCTTTCTTTGGGGTGTAAACGAGCCGAGTGGAGGAGTATCACCCTAAACGAGTCTAGCTCAGTTAAGCATTAGACGAGTTCGAGTCGAGTCATGAGTCGATCGAGTCAGAAAATTCGATTTGTGACTTGGCTCGTGACTCAACTCGAGCTCGTTTAACGCGAGCTCGAATTGACTCGATTATTGCTCGATTACGGTTCTTGATTTGGGGGAGAATGCATTTATGCGATTTTATTTTGGGTTAATTGGCGTTATTTGGTTAAGGGTTAATTTGTGATTTTTTAAACCTTTTAGTCTTTTAGATGTCAAATTACAAAACAAACCAAAAACTTGTATTATGAGCAGAAAAACCCTAAACGAGCCACTATTGGTTCGCGAGCCAAGTTGGGGTAGACTCGAACTCGGCTCGGTATCTTACTCGAGCCAAGTTCGAGTATTTAACGAGCCAACTCGGCTCGACTCGACTCGAATCGATTGACAGCCAGTTTGAATCATGCTACACTTATAGATTCCAACGGAATAATAATTTTTAGAATTTAATTTATTAAGCTTCCAGTTTAATTATTACAACTAAGGAATTTATAACCGTTAGATTATCATAAGAAATCAATGGTAACGATTTATCAAATCTTGAATCACTAAACGGATCCGGGGTCTGAAAGAAGGCCAATATGTGCGAAACGAAAGGCGTGGGCTGGACTCAAATGGGCCTAAAAAGGGCAAACGTTAATCTTATAGTGGATAAGATTAAATCTTGTGAAAATCTTATAGAAAGTAAGGTACACCATCTCTTGAAACATAAATAACTGTCTCATCCAACCGACAAAATAGGCTAACCTGGAGGCTGAAATTCATCCTTATCTCTTGAAACCACTGCCCACAGATTTCACCAAATCATACAAGTTTGGTCCACGACTCACATGCAAATGGCATATGCATTCTCAGATAATGACATTTTAGCGTCTCAAGTTTCCGCGAAAACCTGTCACTTTCTTTGTTTCCAAAACGCTAAGTTTGAAATACGAAACGGGAAAACTCTTATTATTAGGGCCCATGTAAACTTGTCTTTTAAGCTTTCGGCGAGACAGGCCCACATCTGAACGTCATCTCAACATCATGATATTTGTATAAGATTATAATCTTAGGAAAATGATAGAGTTACCGAAAATTACACACTGAATTTGTGCATCGAATGATGTGACAAAATCATACCGCTATAAATGAACTTGTAATGAATCAAAGGTTAGGATTGCAATACGTCATTCGGTGTACGAATTCGGTATACATCCTTCAGTAACTGTAACATTGCTCATAATCATACAATGGAATTGAGTAGATATTTGGATTGCATTTACACGTCTTTCATAGGGTGGTTTAGCAAAAATTCCTCAATCTGGTCGAAATCTTGTTTCATGGGCCACCGCCATTGTGGTGTGTGGTGGTCAAAAGATCCCTTTTGTCAAGCCTTGTTGAACCGAATAGAAAAGCCAGCTAGCGTTATGATTTGGGACTTTTTTTTTTTTGGTCTCTTTACAACTTATATAATAAGCTATTGTTTTGGTTTATGATCTCATTTAATTAACATCTAATTGAATTGTTAAATTAAAGAAAGAAAAGAGACTAATGAATATGAACATAGGACAACCCCAATGTAGAAACGAAACTTAGTGGAAGCTGCCGAGAACCTTTTGAATCAAGTGATTTAGTGGAGAATATGTAAATTATCTAGAAGGATACTTTTGCATACCATAAAAAGAATGCTAATTGGGGCTTTAAATTAGTATAAATGATCAGGCAATACTCCGTATAATTCTGATCCAAAGTATGCTCATATCCATCAATTAAAGGAATGACTATAGGAAACAAACGAGTATTTTACAGAAAGCTGACAAGAAATTCCATTAATAATAGGTCATCTTATAAATTGGAAGAATCCGTTTTATCATTAATAAACTAGGAAAGGGGAAATGAATAACTAAAAGAGAGAGAAATCAATTCATCAAGGCTTTATTTATTCAATGACCAGAATTAGACGAAGATATATAGCTTGGAGACGTAGAAAAAAATTTAGTTTATTTGTCTCAAGCTTTTGCAGGACTCTTCAAGACTCACTCGAATAGTTACTCAACAAAAAATGAGAGTTTTGGGTTCGACTCATGATAGCAAATACTTAAGGTAATATTACATTTACAATCCAAACAAATTCTCTCACAATCTCAACGTGGTAGTTCGTATTTGATTAGCTCGCAAATAAGTTTTGCTTGCTCAATTGAAGCTGTCATGTCTGAACTGTGAGATAAAATTTATAAGATTAGATAGTGAGTCAATCTTTATCCAAATACGTTTTGATTCGTATAAGTTCTATATCTCATTTTTATTAATATGAATGAAATTTGAAAAAGCAAAAAAATATAAAAATGTCCATTTTGACCTTGGAGACAAAGGAATAAATAAAATACAACTTAGCTTGGAAGTTAGACCTACCAAAGGGAGGAAAGAAAATAAATGGGAGCGATGAAAGAAGAATCTGCAGAAACGTGGCTTGCACTTTGTTGGGCGTAGCCGATATAATATGATATGATATGATATATTGGGTGTTATTAATAAGGAAGGCGGACCACCACCATAGATCGCGTGTTGAAACAATCAAATCTCGTGATAATAAAACCAAGAGTAGAATGCCATTCCTTTTGGGGGTGGGTTCATTTAGACATTCTCAATTGTGGGTTCATTTAGACATTCTCAATTGTCCATTCATCCACTCCATGTGAAGTGTGAGCCCCCATGCTTTCTATGCACGGTACATACGTAACTTTCTTTTTCACAAACGTAATTTTCTGATTTAAGCCTTTCAACCGTTACAATATTAAAATAATAATAATAATAACAAAATTAATTAATTCTTTTATCTAAATATTATTAATAATACTTTATTATGATATTTCCCAATTCATGCTATTTTATAAATTTTGAAAAAATTATGTTGTTTAAAACGAATTCGTCAAACCATTCCCATTAAGTTGGTTTTTTTAAAAAGGTGGCAAGTTATCAATTGTCATCGTGTATCCAGATGTCTCCATAGCATAACAATGTACTTTTTCTCTTGATCTCACTTGGACATACTTTAGTTTCTTCTCCTATGATTTTTGGATTTTTTATTTTTCTCTTTGATAATCCTCATCCACAGGATTGAGTTCCATTTTTGAAGTGACATTTCTTTCTCTTCGATAGAGCCAGCTGGCTCTGCCTCACCCCTTAAATAAAATTCCTTGGAATAGTCTCAAAGTGGATCCTGACTTATATCATCCATCGTTTTGTCCAGTTTGAAATATATAAGATCCACTTGTGGCAATATAATAATATATTTTATTTTTAATGTCCGTGTAAGAAATTTCCTAAAGTCCAATTTTTCCAAGGCCGAATTCAACGCCACGATACTTCGCCATCCCCACCTGCTAGAGCTAACCAATAAAAAAGAGAAAATAAATTAAATAAAAGAAAAGAAAAATAATGGAATAAAGAATATACCTCGCACCACGTACAAAGCAACACGGTGACGGATAACGGCAATACCAACTGGACGAGTAACGGTACAGGTAAATGGAAACGGCTGCCGACACCGTCGACTTTTAACGATACGGTTAACAGATACCTTGACGCTGCAAACATAACAGACGTATGGAACGTCACCAACTTCGTCTAAGGAATGAAAGCAAAGCAATCTTTTCTTTGCATGTTTTGAATGGAAGTAATTAGAATTAAAATTAATTTTAAGATTTAAGGTATTAAGTATTGAGTTTAATTTTCAGCTAGTGAAATTTAATGTCCGAATATCTCCTTCCATAGTAAAAGAGTATGTACAAAGGATTTTCTCTTCAATCTATGTGTCCCAACAAAAATCTAGGGTTTCAATCTCGCAGCATACACAAACTCTGCCCGGTAGACTCAGTCCCGGAAACCTCCCACACTCGAGTTGACTCAGCCACCGCTTCAAGTCTCCCGTCCGCGCCAGCCACGTTGACTTGAATCGACTGAATTGGAGATGAAAGAAATCAAAAACAAGAACCAACCTGTGACGAATATCAAAGGTCGTCAGCTTTGGACATAATCGAAAGTCGACTCGGCCTTGTCTGGAACCCCTCGCGTCTCTTCTGATGATGCGAAGAAGGACGAATCAAATCTCTCAACGATCTTTTCACCAACTCTCCTTCAACACCACCGATCCTCACCAGTGAGTGAGTCATCGCCGATCTTCTCATATTCAAACGATTAGGCGCATAAGAAATGGATCCGTTACCGTGACCGTGGTGGTTGCCGCCAGTGTGCTTATGTAGGCTACAGCGGAACGAGCCAGGGTGCGTCGTAGGCGAACACATACACGTTCTTTTCTGGAAGGAGATTGGATTGTTTTTCTTCGCAACAGAAATCGATCTGTTAGGAGAAATAGATCTGCCAATAGAGAAACGAACAGCAGACGAAGAAAGAGAAGCATTTGTGTAGAGATTGACACGGGTAGGAGAGGCGGATCTGTGATGACTGTGATGGTGGTGATGGTCGTCGTGATGGCGAAAGAAAGTTGACGAAGGAGAAGAAAAGCTTGAACTTGTTGAAGAAGCAAAAGACGAAGACGAAGATGAAAGGTAAGAGTTTGCAGTAGACGATGTGCAGAATCTACCGGAAGGTGACAGCGATCTCAGAACCGGGCCGCTTGATCTTCTTGATGACGAACTAGGCATTTTTGGTTTATTTAATTTTTTGAAAAAATAAATAAATTAGAAAAAGAGAGAAGAGGATAGGAGAGGAGAGGACTCTAGGTATTTTTTCTCCTAAAAAGCCCCTGAGGCTAGCTAGTTTGGCAAACCTAGCGAGTCTCGAACGCGGAATTTATAGATTGTAAAGAGAAGGTCAGATGGTAATTAACATGAAGAAATGAGGGCAATTTGACGTAAGGGTGCTAGTGTTTGTCAACTTAACTATGGTTAGCGCATAACTATGGTTCCGGGTTGACAGTTTGCCCATATTCGATTCTGATCCAACGGCTGGTTTGATGTCGACTGCATAAAGCGACAACAGATGGAGCCGTTTGTTTAACATCTTTCCTGGGCAAGTGCAGAAGTTGCCACGTATAAAGTTTCGGGAAACGGTCAGTGACCAAATACTAGAATGTGCCAATAAAAGGCAAGTATTTACTAGATGCCACTGTTTAGACTTTTCGTCTGACTTAACTGTCCCTGATCTTTCAAATTTATAACCACAATGTCCTCAACAATTTTCCATTGGGGAAAATTAATAGAAAAATTAAATAAAATACGAAAGAATAGCAGGTTTTAACTAGGCAATTAAAGCTTAACATTAACGTGATGCTGCCAACTTTGAGAATTTCTGGTAACAGCTTTAAATATTCCATTTGGTGTCATTATTCAAGCTGGACCGGATGAATTTGATGAATTCTAAATAATTATAAATGAAGGGGTAATTTAATTTAATTTCTGTTTGGGTTTGGGAGGATGGCGATCTTTTTTTTATATATTAAATTCAAATATTGAAAATAATATTGCGGCGTTAGAATGAAGCTAACTTATTCAAATTAATTTTTAGACCAATTCAAATGGTCCAATAATCTCGGCAGTGATGAAGTTGTTTATACTTTATAAAAATAAACTCGTGGCTTTCTTGAAAGTTTCAACGTTCTTGGTCAAACACTCACAGCCGTTACCCGTCCCTACAATCAAAAATAAACTCTGTGGGCGCACCACCAAGAGCCCAGTTCCAGTTCAAACTGAGTGAACTTCACGACTCGTTTACCGATGGACGGTCAAAATGGTGGATTCGGTTGGTCTATTCAACCAAAGCTCAATCTTGATATTTTAAATCGTCTTGTTGCATTTGGATTTTCCGGGACACAGTCGAAGGTTTGCTTAAAAATTTTGCCGGGGGCAAAAGGATGATTAATTATAGAATAATCCTGGATTGTCTCAGTTTGAGTTGTCACATCCGTTGTTAATATAAAATATGCACCCAGCTGGATCATAATTAAGCAATTACACGTTGCTAATTATTATATTAGACTATAATTTGGCAATAGTGGATTGGATGTTGAACAGAATAATAGATTTACAGAGGAGATTTTTAGTTTAAATTTCAGTTAAGCCAATAAACTTAGAACATATCTTCAACCTAGTATATATAAGAGATAAGGTTAGGATCAATTAGGCCACTAAGTATCAAAATTAAGGCCGAGGGCCAAGATAATTGTCATTTGAATAATACAACCCTTTTGGAGAACCCAAGGTAAATAGAAATTAATTAAACTAATGAAGAAAGTGATAAGAGTTTTATAATATAAGAAATAGTTGGATATTTTTCTATGCAGGAGATTATTATAATTGAAGATGATTGATCATTGACATTTATTTTAAATCGGCTGGTTGCTAAAGACTAATTATTATTTATTTTTAAATCTGAGGAAGTTGCCCTTAAAACCCTAAACTCTTGTAATTGACCCGCCCCTTCTCTTTTTATAAACCATACACATAATAAGTTAGGGTGCTTTTGTTTTATTATTCCCTATTTTATCCCCGATCATATTCTCAAAATACATGTTTGTTTAATTATTTAAAAAATACTATTCTATTTTTTAATTATTTTTAGTCCCCTTAAATTTATTGATTTAATTAAATGCCCCTGGAAAAAAAATTTTAAAAATTTACAAAAAAACCCCCACCCACCCAATAGTTGCCAGATTTCGACAACTACCATCGGCGATTGCCGGAATCTGTCACAACTGAGTAGAAAAGACCGGAATTGACTGGTAATTCACTGATCTGGCATTTTCCGATCAAATTCACAATGGATTTGGTCGTAGATCTAGCATTTTCCTACCAAATTCGTAGTGGATCTGACCTGAAAATGCCATATCGACGCACGATTGGTCATATCCGACCGGTTTGCGTTGTAACACCATTTTTCGGCCATATTCCAACGATGGTGGTCGGAATCTAACACTGTGGGTGGGTGGGGGTGTTTTGTCATTTTATAAATTTTGTATGTATTGGGGTGTTTAATTAAATTAGCAAACTTATGGGATTTTTTGTTAATTTTTAAATTTTACCTCACCCTATTCAACTACCCAAAATTATTCCCAAAATCATATCCAAAATAACAAAAACAGATCACACCCTTAAGTATTTATGAAATTAAAACATATACACGTACGGATCATTAATTCATCTAGCACAATTTTCAGTATTACAGTATATGATAATAATTATGGTTAAACAAGATCCTTATTTTGTGCCAAAATGTCTCTCAATTGATTATAATAGCCAATATAATTGACTTTAAGTAGTTTCTATCGTCGCTCGTATGAGGATTGTGCAGTGTTTAAATAGGGCTAATATGTCTATACTCAGTATACAAGTTTAGGGCTTCGTGTGTCAAAGCGAACAATATCTAATTAACTCTCCTTGATAATTATCCAGCGGCCGCAGAGTTTGACATCTTTAATTGGGTATAATTAATTGGGTCCCAAAACTAGGTTGAGTATTTAAAGGTTGGAAAATTTAGGTGTTGAAGTAGAAAAAAGGAGTGGGGGCGAAGAGGGAGCGGCCACCCACATGGGTGGCAGTTGAGAAAAATAATATGAAATAATTGAATTAGATAACATCAAACAAAGTGTTAGCAAAAATAAATAATCCAAGTATTTAGAGCATAGTGAATAGTGACAACCAAGCATGCTGGTGATGTATATTATACAAGGCTACACTCCATGTTACCTTTTCTTCTAAGTCCATCCATTTCGATTTTCACGCCCCCTATGGAATATCCCACTTCCTTTTATTCTTATTATAAATTTATATAAATCATTAGTCTTGTGGTTTAGCCGCTTGGGTCGAATACTTAGAAGTTCTAGTTCAGATCTTACAAAATTGTCACTTATTATATTTATGATTTACTTGATTTATTAGGTTTATAGATTAAACACCCACATGAATTATTATGAGTGTAGGGTGTTTAATAAACTTTAAAAAATAGTTAAGATACGTGCAAACTGATCCAAACACCTTGATTATATAAAAAAAAAAAAAAAAAAGTCATATACAAATTACATTTTCTTCAAAATAATCTCTCTAAAACTTATAGTTTTTAATAATAATAATAACAACAATCATCTTATTTAGGTTTAATATCTTATTAAATGACAACATTTTAGGGGGATAAAGAGGAATAAATAAATAGAAGTAATTACTTTGAGAGAAATTAGCGGAGATGGGTGTTTCAAATCTTGGAGACAAGTAGTTAAAGAAAACAACTGGCAAACAACATGTTAATAATATACATTATCAATGAATTAATATCTGGTGACAAGTTCCAATCATATATTAAAAATAAATATTTTAAAAGTATTTTTGGGTCAGCCACCTGGTAAGCAGAAAGCCTAGAGTTACACCAAGTCGCCAACCACCCTGACAAATGAAATATTAAATTTAATTATTTAAATGGGTTCTAAATATTCGGTTACTAAAATAAATATATATCCTTTTAGTATATGGTTTTGATGCCTAAGTTTCTAATTAGTCAATATTGTTATTGTTACCCAAAACCCACACGCAACATACAATTAATATGAAAAACAAAAAAATATCTTCAAACTTTAATAGGAGGAATTCTTCTTTTTATCAAACAAATCCGTCCCCTCGTTATGTTCAAAGGTCGCAATTGCACATACACAAAAAAATGCCCTACCATGTCAGATAGATCACTCTTGGGCTCTTAATTTAAATTAACAATTAGATAAATCCTTCAATGATCACTCCTATTAACAATAGAAGAAAATCAAAAAAGTATTTATCACTTCAACCCGTCACCATCCAAAGGTGGTTTTAGACTCTTATTTTTCATTCATTGAACCTTATCCTATTTTTAAGGTCACCCAATTTCAGCCCAATTTTAGCAAGCCCAGAATCCTTTCTTAAATCGTGCTCTGCATCAATATGCTCTTCAGTGTGAACGAAATAGAGTCAATAACAGGAACAAAATATGACAGTAAAACAAATCAAACAGTAAACAAAGAAAATAACATCAAACAGTAAACAAAGAAAATAACATGCACGATTTACCCTAGTTCACCAAATGTGGGTTACGTCTAACTGAGTCAATATTATTGCAATATGTCTCACCTCTCTTGTTTACAATGAATAAATTGCCCTATGATTTACTATCACACCCATAACAAGAGAAAAATATGTTTATATACTAGATTTAAGAGACTAAACCTAGTTTTATAAGGATTCATATTCCTAAGCCCAACCCAATAAGGAATTAGTAACTTAAAAGAAATTATACAACAGTTATACATGAAAAAATCCAAAACCGCCTATGGGACCCGAATGTGTCTGCATTAACCATTAATACTGAAGTAGTCGATAACTCCAACACAGTGGTCACAAAATGATAAAAAATATGAAAGATGGTAACAGAGAGGTGTAAAAGAAGCCTAATATGAAAAGATACTTTAAGCAGATGACAGAACTTGCCGAAAAAATTAATCGTGTCTTTTTATGAAACTGCAGAGCTTCATTATAAAATATGTAGAAAAGGTAATGCTGTTGTTATGCATAAATTATGCTCATGCATTTGAGACTGAGACACCATTTACAATACTAGCAAAACCAAACTGCGTGAAAAGAATACTAGTTCAAATTAGGCAACACTTAAGTAAAACTAGAGTTTGATTACTCTCAACTATCTTTCCTCTCCTCAAGGATTTTGTTCTCTTGAATTTCTTCAAGTTCAAGGCTTTTTTTCTCCTCAAGACCACTCTTGTTTAACCGTTTTGTATAGAGGCGATGATGCCGCTCTCTCCCATATATTACCCAGAACACCAAAGAGAGCATAACAGCAGTCGAGACCATCACCAGACCGACGTAAATCCATTTACTATAGAGCTGCAGATCCGGACAATGATCCCTGTATATGTTGCTGAAAGTTTCACGCACAAATGTGCAGTCTTCAAGCTCAACCAAGAAAGGACTATCATTCAACAAACCGTTGCTCACATTTACTGCCGCAGACATCTGGCTGTAGAATGTGGGGGTCAAGCGTCCTGGTGTGGTACATACACCAGTTGGTGAAACTTGACAAACATAGTTGTTCCAAACCTGCGTCCAATAATTGAATGCAAATGTTAAAGCCTTCACAAAAAACATAATAAATAAAAAGGATTTCTTATGTTATCGATTCAGTAAGTTACCAGTGTTGCATTGTTGAAGTCCAGTTCACTAGCAGAGCAGGGATGATTCGTCAAGTCAGAGTTAAATGGGTTGCATAATATTGGCACCAATGGACCAGTTTGGTTGAAATAGAAAGGTACAAAAGCAGGAGCAAAATTAATGTTTGAAACATTTGTGATGACTTCATTAATTACTTCAACAATCTGGGAAGATACTTCCTTGCTACGCGTTATGGTTTCTTGGGCAGTGGCTTTGTCCACACAAGGTATTATATCATCTAGAGATGTATGTGCAGTTGGGTTTTGAGCATATTCATTCATTGCAACACATGTATCCCCGGCCGCACTAGCACATCAAAAGAATAGCAGAAGAAAAGGAATTAATTAACTGGGGAAATAAAGATGGATTTTCTCCAAAAAAAGGTAAAATGAAGTGAGGTTAACAAATTTAGCACTTGAAAAATATGATGTTAAAGAATCACTATCAACAAACTGCTATATGGTTGTTTCCCAGTTTTCCTTACAATAATGTAGAGGCCAACTCCTTGGAGGAACATGCGTCTTGCAGAATCCCCCAAGTAGATTATTAACTTGGGAACTCAAAAGTGTCTTCAAAAAGATATAATTCAAATTTATTAAACGAAATGTCACTTTAATTAAACAATACCCTTGCTAAATACTTAGGGAAAACATGCTAAAAGAGATCAACTCTCAACTCAGTACACTTCTATTAACTTACTTGTGAAGAAGAAGGAAAACGCCACATAATATAAATGTTCCAGCAACAAGTATCCATCCGAAGACAACCAGGCTGCATAAATTCGACAGGTCATTCCTTTGTAAAGAATCACTTAAATGTATATGACAAGAACTATAAAGAAATGAGGACTTGTATAAAGAAATCAACTTTTACATTTTATTGTCTCACTTACATGTAGACGAGAACTTGCATTCCGAACATTGAGAATACTGGAACCAGAAAACACAAAATATAAATGAACAAGGAATTTCTTATAATAATTTGGAAATATATGGAAAAGCAATGTATGTTATTTAGGGAGTTAAAAGGACTTACAGAATCCAAGAAATGCCAAGACAAGCATAATAGCCCCGATCAGAATTAGTGCCAATCTCCTGCATGGAAATCAACATATTCCTTCTATGATGCAGATAAGCAGTGAAAGGTGTATAAAAAAAGGTCCAGGATCCTTCACTTACACAGAATCTAGAAGATCTCGAATGTCATGCGAACTCTTTGCAGTTTTGTCAGCAAGGTTGCTAGCAGAAGCATTAAGTTTTGCTTCAATGTTGTCAATATCAGTTTGGATATTAGAAGGTAGGAAAATTTTATCAACCTGTAATTGCTTGGCCGCGGCAAGATAATCTGACACACCATTCAGTCTATCAAGGGTGGCATCTGCCTGGCTTACAACATAATCCAATGTTGATGTTGTACTGCCATGAAACTTCCCTTGACCAGCATAAAGGATAACAAATCCAATGCTGCAACAAAGAACAAAGATTAGTTGTAGCTTAGAATGAATTGAACATAAAATCTAAAGAAAGAGAAAGAGAGTTACGCTGCTAAAATGATGAAGAATATGAGGAAAATTAGAGAGAGGGCATAAGCAATTTTAGAATATCCATATGGCTCCCTTCGAGAACAGAAGTGACGGATACAGATGAGTAATAAGCACACACCGAAACCAAGGAACCAGATTGCAGCAATGGCGAAAAGAGGAGCTGCAGTAAAACCCACTGACTGCAATCAAACAAAAGTTCAGGGACAGAAAATAATGAAAACTGATACTTAGTGAATGAAAACTATAGTTAACTACAAAGAAATTTTTAACACTAGATTAACCTGAGTGAGTGAAAATTTAGCTCAATCGAAATATGAAAGCAAAAGCACAAACATGGTCAGGCTCTAATGTAATTCAACAATTTGCCTACTTGAATATTGAATATATCTAGAATTAGTACTACTCTGAGAGCAAATGGAAGTTCATGTCTCGTTTTCAATTTTTTAGTGCTCTCTACCGGGCACCTTCTATGAAATAATCTGGTTGATTTCAAAAACAAAACCTCTAAATAATTTATCCAGATAGTCAAAGTCTTGCGGTCGGCCACAAGGCTAAATCTCATCATCGTTATTCATATCAGAAAATTGTTAATCATAATCATAATAATGATTTGATCAAGACTATGATATTACGTACTGTCAAACTTTGTCACTACTTGGACAGCTGACCTGCCCCACATTGTTGACTAAACCATATACAAGTAATTTGACTTCTAAACCCCACCTTGCATAATCGATTCCAGCTAATAATACTGGGTATAAATGTAAAATCAACTCTACTGCGCCGAAATACACAGTAAAACCCTGAGGTTTCAGGTTTTAATTTTTGTATCATGGTGAGTGAGAGTGAATGAGTGACTAAAGCTCAATTAAGAGGGGAGGAGGCTGAGGCATTTTTGATACAGGGCATTTGGGGTGTGACTGAAAAACCTGAAACCTCAGGCATTTTGTTTTGGCGAAAGATTAAAGCATTTGTGTACTAAAGAATGAAGGAAAAATTAGTGAACTTACAGCCCAATAATGAACCTCCTTGATATTCCATCCTCCCGTGTATCTTCTGAAACCATTAAGAGGGTCTCTTCTGTAAGTCCTCTTTGCAGCCAAGACAATTGATGAGGAGCCCTCATAGTCATCATTATTATCATCATCATCCTCATTCATAGGCGCATCGCTTGGTCCCTCAGGAACAAACCTCCGAACCTCAGTTATAGACTCTGTTAAAATTTATTGAACTTTAAGGCTTTAACTTACTTGAGTGAAGTGAGAAAACTTTCAGAAAAAGAAAATGATAAAAGAGACTCAACAGATAACATAAAAAAGTTTATTCCTTTTAACTTTTTCCCTCCATTTCCTGAAAGCCAAACAGAGGAGAAGAAAAGATTGTAGCACTACAAGTTGAAGTAAGTACCTGAAGGGAGTGGTGGTTGGAATGCAAGATGATTGGAGGCTCCATGGGTGAAACAAAACAAAGAAGAAGAGAAGAAGAAGAAGGCAATGGTGAGTATAAGAAACAATGGCAGTGACCTGTAACACTGCAATGGCCTCATGGCCAACAAAGACAGAGACACCGAAGGAGAGAGTTGGTGCACGCCTGTGTGTGTCCGAGACTTTTGAGAATTACTGTAAATGTTGAGCGGTTAAAAGGGGGAAGGGAGATGTATGCATTGGATACTTGAAACCGCAAATGGGAATCAATTAAGACTAACCATTTGAAGACAAATAATACTCTTTTAATGTAGATGTGAAAAGGCAGTAATATGGGAGAAAAGGAGTAAAAATGACAAACGGTGGGGGTAACAGAGTCCAGTGAAGTTTGTGATAAGTATGAAAGTGGGGTATTGAGGATTTGATTGTAAGGCAGGAAATAGGTCCCAAAGTCCAAGTAGGTGATGGGGTGATTGGGGCTCTTTCTTCAAGAAGTTATCTTTTCTGTCTGCGCTTTTGACAATGCGATAAAAAGCCAGAGTTCCCGCGTTTCTTATTATCTTTTTGAAATTAAGGACTCGCCTGGCCTGCACTTTATGGGCCAATCCAAAGGTACCATTTAACTCTCCTCGGCCATTGTTAAATATTGATATATGTTCTTTAACTACAAATTGAGTGGAGTAATTTACTTTTTTTTTTTTTTTTTTTTTAAATATGAAGCATTAAAAGTTATCTTTATAATCCTTTCTATCAACTATCAAGTGCTACATTATGTTTTTTATTTTTTTTTTTTTTGTAATTGAGGATATCCACACCACCTCAACATTATGTAATGTGACAATAAAATAATAAAGATTACAAATTTATCAAGTATTTAAGTTTGGATATTCATTTTATATTCTTACTTACGTGATTATTGATATATTATGTTGAATAAAAAGGTCATGGGAGGATTTATGAAGAAAATCTACGTGAGATTCCACACAAGATCTCGAAATGAATGAGATTTTATTTGCTTTAAGGGAGGGAGACTGATTTGGAAAAGTTTAGGTTGTATAGGCTAGGATTAGAAAAACTTCCTGTAACGAATATCATCGAAGTGTATTCTAAGTTCATGAAGTTTGAAATAAATATCAAAATGCAGAACCATATATTTTGTTGGTAATCCAAATATAAGAGAAGCTAGTATCAGAACACCATAAATAATTTTATAGGAAATTCTGAAAGTGATTAATCTAATCGAACGGGTGTAGTAAATGACTGGAGAAGTTTCTAATCAAACGGCCCAAAAGTAAGCGCGAAACCGTTATAAGCCTCGACAGCACAACGAGAAAAGAGATACAGAAACAAACAAGTCACCTGAGCAAAGATTTACTTTGAGAATTCATTTCTCAATCAAGATTCCAACCATCTTCAAGCTTCTCCGGTAACTCGCTTCATTGAACACTTCTATTTGTGTCTTCAACAGCCTTTTCTGTTAATGTGTTGCAGCAAACAATGATGTTGAGTCTTACGTTAATTTATTCTGAGTTGCTTTATGAAGATCAATCAAATGCTAACTGTTAAGGTTAAATTTCTTTCAGGTAGTTCTAGGTTTTTGAAGAAGATGGAAAATAACAGTGACGATGGTGTTACGATCCTAGTTAGTAAAAACGCATATTATATGTGAATTGTATGGACAGCTGTATAATTCACATATAAAACGCACGTATACGTATTTTATAAAATATGTCGTATAATTCGCGTACAATAAGACTTCCCATATAATTCGCGAATTATTGAAAAAAAAAAACAAAATCTCACCCCCAAAACGACGTTGTTTTAGTGGGTTTTTACTAAAATTAAAACATATATCTCTTCTTTGGTTCTTCTTCAGTTCTTCAATTCTTCTTCCTCAGTTCTTCTTCAGCTTTTCTTCCTCAATTCTTCACAAATTTCCACAAGCAATCAACTCCCACAATCAACACACAACAATCAACTCCAGCAAACAGGCTATCAACTCCCACACTCAACTCCAACAAACAAATTTCCATAAGACAGTTGCTCGGGCAACAGAGCAGCGAGCCTGAGGACATCGACAGACCCAATCATGTGAACCAATCACAAGCACAAAACACAAAACCCAAGAAAGGTGTGAGGGGGCGTAGATCTTGGCCACATGCAGTGGCCAACTGTGGTCAGTCGTCGGTCGGCAAGAAATGTAGAGGGAGAATAGAAGAAACAGAAGAAGAGGGAGAGAAGAGAAGGGAAGAGAAACAAAATAGACATAAGTTTATACAAAAGAGACAAAGGTTTAAGAAGGAAGTGAAGAGAAGGTGGAGAAAACAAAGAGAAAGAAGAGAAGAAACTTACTGAAGAAAGAGAGAAGAAAGTTTTGAAATGAACAAGAAAATGAAAGAGAAGAGACTGTGTTTAATACAATATATAGTTTTACATGGTACATTTGTAATTTTTGTAAACTGACTGCAGGGTGTATTTATAATTTTTGTAAACAATTGGTTTTGTTATGACTGTGTTTGATTTGACACTATAGTTGAATCTTGGCTAAATATTGTGTTTGAGTCTGGAGACTATAATTTGAATATCAGTTATATTTATATATTGTGTATTTGTGTTATTGGTTAATTGAATACTTTGCATTTGAAATGTTATATTGATTTTAACCAGGTAGTCCATAAAAATGTTAAACTAAGATTGACAAAACATATTATTGACAATGCACCGTATTAAACCCGTATATATCCGTACCGTATTTTTTCCGTATCCAAATTTTATAACCAAATTTTTATAAACATATTTTTTACTGTTTACCGTATTATACTTATAAAATTTTCGTACTATTTTTTGGTCGTATCCATATTTACTAACTAGGGTTACTATTTCTGATGCTACTATTAAAATAAAGATCATTACAATGGACTTGAAAGCATACACTTTTTGCAAGTGGATAAACATGTAAATATCAATTTCTTTTAAATCTTTGATTAATCAATTATTTTGTCTTCTTTTTCTAGAATCTTTTTATTTTCTTGATTGATAAATATCAAGTCTGCACTATGGTATTTTTTATCTCGTAATAAGGATGGCTACCAAATTTACAATAATGCTAAGGACACCGAAAATTTTACACCGAAAATGTGTACCGGTTTACGTGTAACACGCATCTGATTTGTTTAATAATTTTTTTCTAGTGAACAGCCGTTCATCAAATTTGGACGGCCGTTCACTCACATGGACGTCCGTCCATATTATATGAACGGACGTCCTCATTTAAAGGACGCCCGTCCATAAATAAAATATAAAAATTAAAAAAAAAAACTTTGGGGACGACCGTCCCCTATGTTTGGACGGGCGTCCATTAGGAATGGACGCCCGTCCATACTTAAAAAAAAAAAAAAAACATTTGGACGGGCGTCGACGCCCGTCCATACCTTAAAAAAAAAAAAAAAAATGTTTGGACACTTTAAAAAAAAAAAATTTTGTCTTCTTCGTCTTCATTCCCCAGCTCCTGGGTTCTCATGTTAGTCCTTCGTCTGAGCATTTTGTTGTACAAGAAATTATAAGAACCGAAGGTGCTCATCTTTCGGGTACTAGCCAAAATCCTGATGATGCCAAGTGCAGGAAGCTAGGCTTGCAAGTTGTATCTGGTTTAAGCTATGAGCTCACCAGTGTGAAGAAATCTGCTGCCATGGATTCTGACGTGCTCAGCAGTGATGTGTCCAAGCTTTCTAGAGCAAAATTGGATATATCCCTCTCATGGCCTTTTCAAGAAAATATGTGCAGTATTTGTCCCTTCAAGAAAATATGTGCAGTGTTGTAGAAACCAAAATAATGGATGGGCAGTATCTGTAGAAACCAAAATAATGGACGGGCAATGGACGCCCGTCCAAATTTTTTTTTTTTTTTTTTAAGTATAGACGGGCGTCCATCCTAATGGACGTTCGTCCAAACATAAGGGACGGTCGTCCATAATTTATGGACGGCCGTCCCCAAAGTTTTTTTTTTTTATATTTTATTTATGGACGGACGTCCTTTAAATGGGGACGCCCGTCCTTTGTATATGGACACCCGTCCATATAATATAGATGGACGTCCATGTGAGTGAACGGCCGTCTAAATTTGATGGATGGCCGTTCACTAGAAAAAAATTGTTAAACAAATCAGATGCGTGTTACACGTAGACCGGTACATATTTTCGGTGTAAAATTTTCGGTGTCCCTATCATTATTGCCAAATTTATGTACGTCTTTTAGGTCTCTAGCATTGAAAGAGGAAATTGCTACTGTTTCTGGTGTAGTATCAGAACAACAGCGCTTGTTGTATCGTGGAAGAAGTTTGAAAAATGACCCGCTCCTCTCAGCTTACCGTATCCTTTATATAGGTTATTCATCTTATTTCACTGCCCATGACTCATCATGAAGTCCATATCTTAATGGATTCTTGGCAATTTATCAAACTTCATCTAGCACAATGTATGCATTAAATATATCGTAATTAAAATTGAAGTAAATAAATGTAAGATTAATCCACATATCTTTTATGTAATTAAAAGATATTTAACTTCATATAATATTTCGAATTGTGCTTCAATAGCCGTCGATTACATATTTTCAAACTATTAAGATCGCAATTATATACTAATTTCGGCTATTTTATAGCCTTATCGATGCTACTTAAATTACAAGTTATGGAGATACGGCAAAATTTCTTATATCATATTTGCTTCCATTTTTTGGGTTGTTGATAAAGATTTTATATATAATTTAAATTTTTTATATTTATTGATAAATGAGTTTGAGTCCAAAAAGTTAGTTCAAGAGAGAGAGGAGTCTATTAGGCCAAATATATACATCACAATTTTAGAAAAAGACCTTGGAGGGTTTATAACTTTGGAGGGTCCAAAGTCCAAATCCAATCAAACTATAACTTTAGTATATACCATAACACCAAATATATACAGCATAACTTTGGAAGGGACTTTAGAGGGTTTATAACTTTTGAAGGGATATTGGAGGGTTCAGAAATCAAACCCAAACAAACGTGATTATGTATCATGATAAAACAGAAGTCGTATAATTGAAATAATAGTAATTTATAAGAAAAGTATTTTATAATATGTATTTTTTATTCTCATTTTTTTATTTTAAAAGAAATGTTAATCAAAGCTGTTATATAAGCCCAATCCAATTTGGAAGGTCCGATCCATGCGAAAGTCCAAGAAACAAAGGGTATTTCAGTCATTCTCTCCATTTTTGGGTCTCACTTATAAACCCTATTTATAGCTTCACTGCTTTTTCACTCTCGGCGCGATTTAGGGTTTCTCTCTTCTTAGCCTCCTTTATTCATTCGCAACCTGCTGGTCATCTCCAAATCTAGCCATGGCGGAGCAGGTTCAGATTCCCACTTCACAAAAATGTTACCTTACATGTCTTTCCTTCACGTTTCTGATTGTTTGTTCCATTTGTTTTGCAGACTGAGAAAGCCTTTTTGAAGCAGCCCAAGGTGTTTTTAAGGTAATTTATTTTGCTTGTTTGTCAATCTATTGTAGAATAGTGGATTAATTGTTTTATTAATGTCGACAAATGGATTGCAGAAAAGTGTTTTTCTTTTGTTAACTTGTGTTGATGTTTTGCAGCTCGAAGAAATCAGGGAAGGGAAAGAGACCCGGAAAGGGAGGGAATCGATTTTGGAAGAACATTGGGTTGGGTTTCAAGACACCCAGAGACGCAATTGACGGTATCATTTTATTTTATTTTTTGCTTTGTGTTACTAGTCTATTTTACTTTTATTTGGACTTTAATGTGGCGTTTTAGAATTGCTCGAGTCTAAAGTGATTTCTGCACATGATATACTTGGATCTGGTGGATTAGTTTGTGGGGTTTAACGGTTAGAGCATTTGTATGTTGCTTAGAGTGTTTAGCACTTGCGTCAAAATATTGTGCAGCTTCATATGTTCTGTATGTAACATGCTGTATTGTCTACCCTAAGAGTTGCTTGATTATTACAATGAAAGACTAGTCCACTTTTCTAGAACTGAGAATGTAGTTCCTCGTGTGTTTTTTCTCAGTTGGTACATCACAAGCCAAAATTGAATGTGTTGCAGCTCATCTATATATATTGCAACTAATCATCTGAATAGCTCTTGCTAAGGCTATGATTTTTTTGTGTCACAAGCATTATTTGCAAATTGTAGATTGGGTCTAGAGAAGAATTTCACGAGTGTGTCTTTTAACATTCATTAGTTTGTATAAATAATTTATTTAATTTCGTGAATTTGTAACTTGTGGGACATGTTGATGTCAGCTTGTGATCTGATCACTATTTGTGTTGTTTTTATCGTGAGTTCCACTTCCCAATCATTGGATTGCTTTCAAATGCTTTTGTGTAAAGGTCACTCCTTAGAGCATCATCCTTACTATGCATGCTAAAATGATTATTGTTATTATTGTTTTTGTGTGGAAGCTAATTTTTGCTGATCATTGTTGTCACATATCTCCTATATCATATTATTATTTGTGAAATTCTGTTAGTGCTATACCTGCATATGTTTTGGGAAGAATCAAGGATTGAATTGTTTTGCTGCTACTGCTTTTCAGGTACTTATATTGACAAGAAGTGCCCATTTACTGGCACTGTCTCTATTAGAGGTCGTATTTTGGCCGGTACTTGTCACAGTGCTAAGATGAACAGGACCATCATTGTTAGGCGCAACTACCTTCATTTTGTGAAGAAGTATCAGAGGTAAGAACCATTTTAACGAGCTCACTTCTCACTAATATTAAGGCTTTTTGGCTTGCCCTTTCATATACAATAACACTGTCCTCTGTGGTATTCTTTAGGTATGAGAAGAGACATTCTAACATTCCAGCACACATATCACCATGCTTCCGTGTGAAAGAGGGAGACCATGTTATCATTGGCCAGTGCAGGTAAGATGCTGTATCTTTAGATTCTATGGGTCTGTTTGTGTATGAATATTATTTTGCTTTGTTTTCATTTTCACTTTATGATGTAAATTATTTGTATGTTTTGCTAGGCCTCTGTCAAAGACAGTCAGATTTAATGTCTTGAAAGTGATACCAGCTGGGTCTTCTGGTGGTGCAAAGAAGGCATTCACGGCAATTTGAGTTGGAGATGTGGTTACATTAAATTTTGTTACTGTTGTCTTATCAGACTTTGTTATTTGGATTTGCCTCTAGTATTAAAATCTTTGTTATGACGTTCAATTTCTAGATAAGTGAATTGTTAATCTATTTTTGTTATGCCATTTAGCGAATATTTGGTGTTTGTGATAAGAGGATGTTTTCTGAGGGCTTGTTTCTTACAATGCATACATACATTATGAACCTGATGTTTCGAGGATAAGTATGGGTAGTGACTTTTTTTATAGTTGATATAAAACAAGTGGTCCTCCCTTGTAAATTACTGAATTGTGTTCTGTCATGGTTGATGGGAGGAGGCTTGATTTGGCCCTAATAGAGGGTTTTGAATTAAGTCTCTTTTGACATTTTTTTCTTTTTTAAATTCTCGAGGTCTGTTTTACCAGTAGCAATTTTACCCTGTCCCGTTTGATGGCAAGAGTAATAACAGGAATCTCAGATTTATTTATACGGTTGGGATTAATTACTGGCCGGGTTAATGACATTGTCCTTTTAATAGTGATGTTGAGGATCTATATTCTTAATTGAATGACAAAAGGTTAGGTTTCTGGACTTGAAATGGGAAAATGGTAAACACTATTTTCGATTAACAAGAACAAGGCCCGTGTGTTCAACTAGGAATTAACGACTCCTTTCTTAGTACAGTCGGTTCAGGATGCGATTGATACGTTATTGAAGTCTATATCCATATTGTGTTGAAAATGATAAATTAATGCATTTTAAAGAGTATGATGAGTTATCCTTGATTTGATGATCTTAGAGGACTTGGCACTAATCTATTAGAATATTAAATTGTTATTCTAGTTTATTTTATATTTTTTAGTAGTTTTAATTTATTTTAAGTTATTAAAGTTTAATATTTGTATTGAATGAAGTTTTGTTTTTAATTTTTTATCATTTTTTGAATTACATAATTATTATAAATATTAATATAAATAATAATCAAATTAAATAAATTAAATGAAAAAATAAAAAATGTTTAATGGTAAATGAATAGTGTCACACTAAATTGGTGTGACGAAGAGTGTTACACCAAATTTGGTGTGATTATTTAGTGTCTCATTGGAAATGCCCTTAGCAGTTAGCATGATCTACAGATAAATCATGAAATGTGGATTGATTAGGATAAATCATGCAAGAACAACTTGCAAATTGTAGATTAAATATGATGTGCACCTGTTATACATGGACTACAGCGTCTATATTAAATAATAATCAAATAGTCAAATAAACAAACATATGAGAGCATATAATCTTAGAGAAAAACATAAAAAAGGATAAGATCCTCATCTTGATCCCAATTTAAATATCGAAAATTTGATGGGAATAATTTTTCGTTAAGAATATTTGATTTGATTTATTTTCTCTTTCTACTTGCTTATTTTAGATAAATAATTAATATTCCTCTTTTAAATTGATTCAAAATGATAGCAGAATTTGTATAAAAGGGTAAATCCTCTATTATTTCTCCCATTTATTTTGTTTCTCGCAGCAGTTGGTTGATTCATCATCCTCTATTTGCTCTCGATTTAATCTGTTTTTGATTCTCTTCATCGATACACCATGTATAAAGTTGCCAAAGCCAGTGAATATCTTGCGATTACCGGAATTGGTATCAGAGACATTAAAATTGCCAAGAAAGGATGGGTCTTTCCCGGCCAATCTTGTGCCATTATCGAGGTCTCTCCTGTCAATTATACGTTCCAAGTTCAAGCCATGAGTGCCGAGAAACTCCCCTTTGTCCTCCCGGCCGTCTTCACCATTGGCCCTCGCGTGGATGATGAAGAAAGCTTGCTTAAATATGCCAAACTTATCGCCCCACATGACAAGCACTCGGACCATGTCACCGAGCTTGTTCAGGGTATCATTGAAGGTGAAACTAGAGTCCTTGCCGCTTCCATGACCATGGAACAGATTTTTAAAGGCACCAAAGAGTTCAAGCAAGAAGTTTTTGAAAAAGTTCAACTTGAACTTAACCAGTTTGGACTTATAATTTACAACGCTAATGTTAAACAACTGGTTGATGTGCCTGGACATGAGTACTTTTCTTATTTGGGTCAAAAAACACAGATGGAGGCAGCGAATCAAGCTAAAATCGATGTTGCGGAGGCGAAGATGAAAGGAGAAGTTGGAGCAAAGTTGAGACAGGGTCAGACGCTTCAAAACGCGGCGAAGATTGATGCAGAGACGAAGGTGATATCCACCCAAAGGCAAGGACAGGGGAGAAAGGAGGAGATAAAGGTGAAGACTGAAGTTACGGTTTATGAGAACGAAAGAGAGGCTGAGGTGGCAAAGGCTAATGCTGAACTGGCGAAGAAGAAGGCTGCTTGGTCCAAAGAGGCCCAGGTGGCGGAGGTGGAGGCCGCCAAGGCGGTGGCCTTGAGGGACGCTGAATTGCAAGGAGAAGTTGAAAAGATGAATGGCATGACCAGAACTCAGAAACTCAAGGCTGAGCTTTTGAGTAAGGCCAGTGTTGAATATGAAACCAAGGTAATCACGAAATTTTTTGATATATATATGTATATAATTTTCATGAAGAATGGATTATACTTACTTCTTTTGTTATTGCTAGGTGCAAGAAGCAAACTGGGATCTCTACAAGAAACAGAAAGCCGCTGAAGCAGCACTCTTCGAAAAAGAGAAGGAGGCAGAGGCTAAGAAAGCAATGGCCGAGGCAGAATTTTATTCTCGTCAACAAGCCGCTGATGGAGAATTATATGCAAAGCAAAAAGAAGCTGAAGGGCTAGTGGCAGTTGCGCAAGCCCAAGGGCAATACCTGCGCACTCTTTTAGGCGCAGTGGGAGGCAACTATGCGGCCGTGAGGGATTACTTGATGATAACTGGGGGTATGTTCCAAGACATTGCCAGACTTAACGCTCAAGCCGTGCAAGGAATGCAGCCAAAAATCAGCGTTTGGAATAATGGTAGCGATGGATCAGAGGGGGCTGCAGCTGGTGGCTCCGCCATGAAGGAAGTTGCTGGGATTTATCGCATGCTGCCACCCTTGTTCAAGACTGTTCATGAGCAAACTGGAATGCTCCCACCTTCTTGGATGGGCTCTTTGCCTGACTCCACCAACCCTCCCAATAATTAATTAGCTATTATATAGGTTGATTTAGTTTCCCTCTAATATTTTAAATGGAATTTTGATTTTTCTTTTATAATTAATTTGAACTCATAGTAGTTGCAAATCCAACTGAGTGTTTGTTTCTAGTTTGATTCTTTTTGAGTATTCAATTATCAACTTTATTTTTTGTGTCAATAAATTTTGACATAAAAAATTTCAAACAAATATATCCACCATTCATGTCTAGGATACTAATGTGTTTTTTTGAATATTACTAGATATTATACAAATTATATAATATGGGTTTAAAGTTACTATTGTGTTGTTTTTATTGTGAGTTCCACTTCCCAATCATTGGATTGCTTTCAAATGCTTTTGTGTAAGGTTACTGTTTGGAGCATCATCCTTACTATGCATGCTAAAATGATTCTTGTTATTACTGTTTTTTTGTGGAAGCTAATTTTTGACCGATCATTTTTGTCACATATCTCCTTTATCATATTATTATTTGTGAAATTCTGTTAGTGCTATACCTGCATATGTTTTGGGAAGAATCAAGGATTGAATTGTTTTGCTGCTACTGCTTTTCAGGTACTTATATTGACAAGAAGTGCCCATTTACTGTCACTGTTTCTATTAGAGGTCGTATTTTGGCCGGTATTTGTCACCAATGTTCTGAAAACCAAACCGGACCGTCTGGTCGGACTGGTTCGACTGGTAACCGGTGGTATATCTGGTCCGGTATCCTTTGAAAATTGCTAATTTCATTCAAACCGGATTAGACCGCTGGAATAGTGTTGAATCGCGGTCCAATCGCAGCTTAATCCCGCCAGATTTTGGCATTATTCGAGGGAGAAAACATCACCATTAGACTTGACGGCATCTCCATGACAAAACCCATCCATTTTCAATGGCCGTCGTCCAGCCTTTGTCGCTTGCCGTCCACCTAATGTTCACGCCACCGTCAGACTTTTTTCTTGATTCCAGTTAGTTCCGGCGCCAATGGAACTCCCTAGCACCACCATCAGATTCGTCGGCACCTATACATCAAAAGCCCCATGATTCCAAACCTCGATTGGCCATCGATCGTCGCTGCAGCCACCATCACTAGTCTCTTCGCGCAACAGGGGTGTTTTGGACATATTTCAAACCTTAAGGGAGTATATAGGGGTGTTTATGATGAATTTCAAACATTTAGGGACTAATAGAATTTTACAGAATACGGTCCAACCGACCAATCCAACTGGTCAAACAGAAAACCGGACCTTTGAACGGGTCATAGTCCGATCCGGTTTTCAGAACATTGCTTGTCACAGTGCTAAGATGAACATGACCATCATTGTTAGGCGCAACTACCTTCATTTTGTGAAGAAGTATCAGAGGTAACAACCATTTTATTGAGCTCACTTCTCTCTTATATTAAGGCTCTTTGGCTTGCCCTTTCATATACAATAAGTCAATAATACTGTCCTCTGTGGTATTCTTTAGGTATTTTTTATAGTTGATATAAAACAAGTATCCTCCCTTGTAAATAACTGAATTGTGGCCCTAATAGAGGGTTTTGAATTAACTTTCTGTCATGTTTTACCGTTAGCAATTTTACCCTGTCCTGTCTGATGGCAGAGTAGTAACAGGAATCTCAGATTTATTCATACGGTTGGAATTAATGACATTGTCTTTTTAATAGTAATGTTGAAGATCTATGTTCTTAATTGAATGACAAAAGGTTGGTTTCTGGACTTGAAATGGGAAAATAGTAAACTCTATTTTCGATTAACAATAACAAGGCCCGTGTGTTCAACTAGGTGTTAACGAGTCCTTTCTTAGTACAGTTGGTTCAGGGATGTGATTGTTACTTGAGTAATGCTATGCATACTCACAATTTTACTAACCATCTTACAATCCTGGAAAATATAACGGCATAGTACGGGTACCATACGTATAGTACCCGTACTATACCATTATATTTATCAGGATAGTAAGATGGTTAGTAAGATTGTGAATAAACATAGTTTTATTGTTGTTACTTTATTGAAGTCTATCCGTCCAAATTGTGTTGAAAATGGTAGACTATATTAGAAAATCTTTAATCACAAATACTAAATTGGTGTAATTTTTACACGATTTTACTATTGTATAAAATATTTTACCAAAAAAAATATTTTTTTGAATATTGGGAATAATATGTTTTATTAATTAATAATAATTTTAAAAATTATACTAATTTAATAAAATTAAATAAACATTATATTTAATATAAAAAAATAAAATCTGATATAAAATGCCACAAAAAATAAAAATAAAAACAACACAAAAGTAAAATTTCATATTGATAGTAATTTAATTTTTTGAATTAGTACATTTTTCTCACAAATAATCAATTAATGTATTTCGAAAAGCATGGTGAATCGTTATATCCTTGATTCGATTATCTTTCTTATCTATTAGAATACTAAATTGTTATTCTAATTTATATTGTATTTTCTATTAATTTTAGTGTTTTAAAATTAGTGTTAATTTATTTTGAATTATTGAAGTTTAATATTTGCATTGAATGAAGTTTTGTTTTTTATTTTTCATCATTTTTTGAATTATATAATTATTATAAATATTAATGTAAATAATAATCAAATTAATATAAAGACAAATTAAAAAAATTAAAAAACTAAATTGGTGTAGATGAATAGTATTACACCAAATTTGGTATGACACTATTCACACCAAATTTGGTGTGGCTTTTATTGTATGGTAGAAGCAAATTAAATTTGAACACCATTTTGGTGTTTTACACCAATTTAGTGTTTCATTGGAGATACCCTTAACATGACCGGTTGATTGAACCGAGTTTCATTTATGAATTTATGGAGCAAGGATCTTAAATTTGGTGAGGAAAAACTAGGGTACTGATCACTGATGCAAGAATAAGGTAAATCATGCAATTTGCAATTTGGATAAATCATGCAAGAACAACTTGCAAATTGTAGATTAAATATGATTAGCACAGCGTCTATATTAAATAATAATTCATTCAACTCAAATAGTCAAATAAACAAAACATATGAGAGCATAAAATCTTAGAGAAAAACATAAAAAAGGATAAGATCCTCTTCTTGATCCCATTTTAAATATTGAAAATTTGATGGGAATAATTTTTCGTTAAGAATATTTGATTTGATTTATTTTCTGTTCCTACTTGCTTATTTTATATAAATAATTAATATTCCTCTTTTGATTTGATTCAAGATGATAGAAGAATTTGTATAAAAGGGTAAATCCTATATGTGCAGTAATACTATATTAGGAATCGAGTCCCATTACTCTTTACCTGACATGGCAATCGTATTAAGAATAGGAATCATATTCCTTCTTTCCTTACCTGGAAAATTCCCAATTCCTGTAGGAATAGGACTCCAATGGAGTCCTATTCCTACAGGAATTGGGTCAGGATTGTTTATACATATGTATACATATACACATCCCAATATCAAACTATTATTTCTCCAATTTATTTTGTTTCTTGCAGAAGTTGGTTGATTCATCCTCCTCTATTTACTCTCGATATAATCTGTTATTGTTTCTCTTCATCGATACACCATGTATAAAGTAGCCAAAGCTAGTGAATATCTTGCCATTACCGGAAGTGGTATCAGAGATATTAAAATTGCCAAGAAAGGATGGGTCTTTCCCGGCCAATCTTGTGCTATTATCGAGGTCTCACCTGTCAATTATACGTTCCAAGTTCAAGCCATGAGTGCCGAGAAACTCCCCTTTGTCCTCCCGGCCGTCTTCACCATTGGCCCTCGCGTGGATGATGAAGAAAGCTTGCTTAAATATGCCAAACTTATCGCCCCACATGACAAGCACTCTGACCATGTCACCGAGCTTGTTCAGGGTATCATTGAAGGTGAAACTAGAGTCCTTGCCGCTTCCATGACCATGGAACAGGTTTTTAAAGGCACCAAAGAGTTCAAGCAAGAAGTTTTTGAAAAAGTTCAACTTGAACTTAACCAGTTTGGACTTGTAATTTACAACGCTAATGTTAAACAACTGGTTGATGTGCCTGGACATGAGTACTTTTCTTATTTGGGTCAAAAGACACAGATGGAGGCAGCGAATCAAGCTAAAATCGATGTTGCGGAGGCGAAGATGAAAGGAGAAGTTGGAGCAAAGTTGAGACAGGGTCAGACGCTTCAAAACGCGGCGAAGATTGATGCAGAGACGAAGGTGATATCCACCCAAAGGCAAGGACAGGGGAGAAAGGAGGAGATAAAGGTGAAGACTGAAGTTACGGTTTATGAGAACGAAAGAGAGGCTGAGGTGGCAAAGGCTAATGCTGAACTGGCGAAGAAGAAGGCTGCTTGGTCCAAAGAGGCCCAGGTGGCGGAGGTGGAGGCCGCCAAGGCGGTGGCCTTGAGGGACGCTGAATTGCAAGGAGAAGTTGAAAAGATGAATGGCATGACCAGAACTCAGAAACTCAAGGCTGAGTTTTTGAGTAAGGCCAGTGTTGAATATGAAACCAAGGTAATCACGAAATTTTTTGATATATATATGTATATAATTTTCATGAAGAATGGATTATACTTACTTCTTTTGTTATTGTTAGGTGCAAGAAGCAAACTGGGATCTCTACAAGAAACAGAAAGCCGCTGAAGCAGCACTCTTCGAAAAAGAGAAGGAGGCAGAGGCTAAGAAAGCAATGGCCGAGGCAGAATTTTATGCTCGTCAACAAGCCGCTGATGGAGAATTATATACAAAGCAAAAAGAAGCTGAAGGGCTAATGGCAGTTGCACAAGCCCAAGGGCATTACCTGCGCACTCTTTTAGGCGCAGTGGGGGGCAACTATGCGGCCGTGAGGGATTACTTGATGATAACTGGGGGTATGTTTCAAGACATTGCCAGACTTAACGCTCAAGCCGTGCAAGGAATGCAGCCCAAAATCAGCGTTTGGAATAATGGTAGCGATGGATCAGAGGGGGCTGCAGCTGGTGGCTCCGCCATGAAGGAAGTTGCTGGGGTTTATCGCATGCTGCCACCCTTGTTCAAGACTGTTCATGAGCAAACTGGAATGCTCCCACCTTCTTGGATGGGCTCTTTGCCTGACTCCACCAACCCTCCCAATAATTAATTAGCTATTATATAGGTTGATTTAGTTTCCCTCTAATAGTTTTAAATGGAATTTTGATTTTTCTTTTATTATTAATTTGAACTCATAATAGTTGCAAATCCAACTGATTGTTTGTTTCTAGTTTGATTCTTTCCGAATATTCAATTATCTACTTTTTTTTTATATAGATATATAACGATTCTAGTTATTTTAAATTATCTAAATATCTGAATCATATATAAAATATTTGTGTCAATAAATTTTGACATAAAAAATTTGGGACAAATATATCCACCATTCATGTCCTGGGATACTAATGTGTTTTTTGAATATTACTATATATATTATTCAAATTATATAATATGCGTTTAAAGTTATTAAATCATATATGTTACATAATCACAAAATTCATGTGACAATAATAAATTAATGTCTATAATAACGGGAAATAAATTTAGAATCCATATTATATTTATTTATATTTTGAAATGGTCAAACCGCGAAGTCGCTATCTAGGGCTGGGAAGGACAAGGTTTTGCTCCCAAACGTGTGGGAAATAATCTTTGTACTTGCCACGGCAAACTGCCTCCCTTCATCGAAACACAACCATTCCGTGGAACCCACGGATTGCCTACCTCTCCTACTACCTCAAATCCTATTTTGACACCTGTCCCATTGGTTCAACTCCAGTCTTTTCGCGCCTGACCTAATTCTCCCCCTTGTGACGCTACAGTCTCTTCACTTTTCCTAGCAAACTAAAACCAGCTGTATTCACAATCAACGGTCCATAACCTCTTCACTAGCACATGCATCATAAAAATTATAAATCCAACGGCTCGTATTTACTAAACCTATTACACGCGTCAACTTTTCAGCGTGTTGTCAACTCTGCCTCGAAGTATTCCAATTTTCAGGCGCTTTAATCACTCTCGCTCTGTGGGTAAAGTTTCTTTTATTTTCCTCAGTTTCTGCAACTCTCTGTAAGGCTTTCATCACTCTTCACTTTTCTTTTTAGTTGTTTTCTCTGAAAATCTAGGGTTTACTCGTCCGCTTAACGCGTCTTTGATTTTTTATTTACATTCGTTTATCCATCTGTGAATTTGCAACTCCTGAGGACGTTTTGGTCTCTGATTGTAGTGATTTCTCGAAGTTATTTTTGAGATTTTGTTTTTGGTGTTTCTGATGGTTTTGATGGAGAAGGGTTAGGGTTTGAGAGTGATGAGAGATGGAAAATTCTTGGCAGATGAAATGTGGTTCGGCGAATCAATCAATGGCTTCGTCAACCTCGCATGAGCTTCGGAATCAGGTATGATGTCCATGCTTTTAGTTTCATTCTTGTTTGTTTGAATATGTGAAGGCAGGCTCAATATGGAATGTTTGTAAGAAACTTAGATTATGTTTTTTTCCTCCAAAAACCAAACTCATTAATTCAGAAATTGCTTTTATTTTCACTGGATACTTTACCCATTCGGAAGGTCAAATGAGGGACTGCGCACTAATTCGAAGTCAGGGAAGGTATCCTTACCTTGGACAAATTTAGAGAACGAAAGCATTTACATTGCGGAAATTTTTGTAATCTTCATGTTTCTATGTACTCTAGTACATAGGCAGAGATCTATGTGTTTTACGTATTGTCTTGTTTCTGTATACCTGTCTGATTTCGTACTTCAGAGTATACATATATGCACGAAATGTATCTGTTTACTATTTGTTTCGGATTCCACTTTTGTGTAATGGAATTTTGGTATGTTGGACTCATGGTTTTCTTTTGTTTTTAATAGATGGAGATGGTTTCTGGCCACTGCTTTTATCCTCCTGTTGCACCAGATTTGAGATCAACTATGAATGGACGGGTGCAAGATTCCATGTATCCCAACATTCGGAACGTAAGTTCCCGCAGACTGGGCAATGCTGAACTGGGAAATTCATTTCTTGCTCTCCTTTCAGGACCGCCGTCAATGTTGCAGTGTGATCCTCAGGAACTTCCTAATCTAAATGCATTCAGTTCCTCTTCTAGTAAACTTCCCATTGACGGTGGTGGTGTACCCAATATTGCTATTGGAACTGGAGTACCACCACCAACAACTGGGCTGTTGTGTGAACATCAGATTAATCGAAACATGCAAAATGGGGCAAATATTTGCTCCTCATCCAGAGCCGCGGTAAATTCCAGTTATAGTAGCAAATCAATTCTGCATGATGGTCTTCAAACTGCAAACTTAGGTCTGCCGGGTTCAGACCTGGCTAATGCTGTTATTCATCAGTTGGTTCCAAGTAATGAGAAAGCAAAGGATTTTTCTTCTGTGAAAGGGAAATGGAAAAGTGCAAGCTCTGTAAATGTTGGGAAGCTTTGTAGCTCAAATATTCCAATATCACAAAAAGGGCCACTAGAAGCACTCTCTTCTGTGTCTAGCCAGTCATCTGTTTGTACAAGTGGGTGTCCCCGTGTAATTTGCTTGGGTGCAAGTGAGTGGTTCAATCCTAATTATTAGTTAAATGATATTCTGGTGCATGATATGTCCTGACATTGTATTTTATTTTTATTAATATATAAAGGTGGGGATCTGCTTCTCAGCAATACAGGACTTGTTGGTATTGTTTGCTCCTGCCATCGTTTTCACATGTCTGTTGCTAAATTTTGTGAGGTAGTTTCTACTTTTCTTTTACATGATTTTCTATTCACCATGTTTATACAGCCTTCTTAACTATGAAGCACTTTTGTAAAGGAATTCCCTATCTATTTTGTGCTTAATTGTATTTTTCTTTTTTTGCAGCATTTAGGACTGCGTGTTGTCAACCCTGGGGATGCTGTTCATATGGAGAGTGGAGAGACCCTTACTCGGTGGCGTAAGCACTACTTCCAGAAGTTTGGGGTAAGGTTTATATATGTTTTTCCTGGCCTTCTGTTTTTTTTTTTTTTTTTTTTTTTTTTTTTAAATTGAATGTTTCCTCTATATCCTTAGACATCCATGCGCATATACCTGAAGCGTCTATGGGCTCACATGTTAATACCGAAGTATGCATATGTAAAGGCAAAAAGAGTATTTGGTTACAAAATGGTTTTTTTTTTTTTTCTTTCAGGAACTTATTGTTTTCTTTCATTGGTGTCATTGTTTGTATTTTCTTACAATTAAAAGTTGCCAATGGATCATACTGATACTGATATCAATATCTGATCCCTGTTTGTTTCAGCGATGAGATTTTTCTGTAAGAAATTAATCTGTTGAGGATATGGCAGCAGTTTGCATTTTATCTAATATGCTAAGGGTGCTTAAAGCCTCAAATGTCCTGCACTCTATTTGTGGCCCTGTTCTTGCTAATTGTGTTTTTGAATGCTACTTTGTTGACAATGGTGGAAATTCTGTTTGAGAATGTTATTGCATATGGATATAAGAGGATGTTTCCGGACAGCAATTATTTCCTCCTAAGGCCAGCTAATTTAGAATTTACTAGTTTCATGGACTTTGCTCTCATTTTTAAGGTCATGCAAATAGCATGTGAATGTTAGGATATTGCACATGAGAGTTGAGCCTCATGACAGATTGGTGATATTACAGTCATTTATAGTTACTATCCGTAGATATGCTTGTAAGTTTTATGTTATTATTCAACAATTTTATTTAAAATTGGGTAATTACTGGGTAATTATTGGGTATTATGGCTTATAGTCTTTTTAGATTCTGATTGTTCTTTATCTTTGGAATTGAAAGTTGTATTTCTTATTGGCATGTGTTTGAAGCACCGAGAACACTGGATGGTGATGTTTTTATGATGCTTTAGATCAGGGTTCCAGATGATCAGAGTGGATGGGACTGGCCTGAAGCATTATCAGCAACTGCTGGTTTGGTGAAATCTAGTGTGGTTGTGCCGAGCGTGCCCAACAATTCTGACTTGGCTAAACTGGTTGGTTCATCTGGAAGTGTGTCTGGACAGCGTTTAGACAATGTTGCATTTCACCCTCATACAGACCAGAATTCAATGATTCATATGTTGCATGAGAAAGAACAGAGATATGGTCAGGGTGATAATAATCATCTTCCCAAGGGCTTGATTAATACTCTGCAAGGCAAATTGCAAGCTGTGGCAGATAACCAGAAAATGGAGTGCCCTATATCTCGGTGTTCAACATCATCAAAGTTTGTGGATAGAGGACCAGATAGTGGCTTACAATCAATATCTGCTTACATTGATTCTCTTGTCATGTCCAGAAACGCATCCTTCACCAACCCTATTTCACAGAATTCAAGAATCTTAGGTAAAAGTTATGATGTCAGCAAAATTAAAAATTCTTGTGATGGGGTTACTGCAGATAAGGTTGCTGTTTCTTCAAACATTGAGCTGAGGCTTGGCCAACCATATCAACAAAGTCAGTCTCCAGGAAATTCTGTTACACCAGTATTTGTACCAAAGTCATTAGACACTCTATTGGGTCCGCCAAAGTCTCTTTTCAGGGAGCAGATGATTCATAATGGTGCGTCATAAAATGTTTTTACTTAGCTCATTATTTAAGGTATATAACTTATTAAATATTAACTTGTTCGTATATGTATATATGTATATATACCACTATGGATGATAAATTATTCAAGGATTAATTCTCTAATGATGCAGCTGGTAATTGCGGGGAAAAGGTGGAATCCAGACAATATTATCAGTGCTCGGCTGGCCCTTCAAGTTTTTCTCCAAGAAGAGAACAAAGCCAATTGAACCTAGGAAACCATGCATTTGGAATATCTAATGTCATTGATACTACCACTAAGCTAGAAAATGCTGAAGGCAACATGAATAAAAGTTCTGTGGTTCCATTAGTTGCACACTTTAATGCCCCACCAGAGAGAAATGAAAACTCTAAAGCGAATTATAACATGGTCATTAGTGATCATATCATGCCTAAGCCACCAAATTATGAATCTCATACTGCCATATCTAACCCAGTTAGTGTTCCATGGAGTGTTGGTAATGGTTTAGAAAGGCAATTGAACCTTTCTGAAATGGATTTCTCAAAACTTAAGGACAAGGGTAAAGGGACTGGATGTCTTATTGATGGCTCTTATGCCATGACAGATAAAGAATTGAAAATCCAAAAACATTTGAAGAATCCTACCACCTTCACCGGAGCTGTGAGTGAAAGCGGCAATCCCTGTTTTTCTGCAGTACATGAAAAGAGCCATTTTTTGCATCAGTCATCAGGGGTGCCACCAGATGCGTTTGATGCTAGAAACCTTCTTAACCATCCTGAGAAGGTACCTTTTCTTGGGAGTAGTGGGCATGTAAACCATGTTTTTCTGAGGCCTATGGCCCCACCCATCGGTTCTGGGCAAATTTTGCAATCACAAGCTATCTCAATGGCATTTCCTTCAGCTACTTCAACCTCCATACCAGGGATGACTCCAACTGTCTCAAAATTGGAGGGCATCAACATAAACCCTTATTTGCTTGATGAAAATATGAGATTGCTTGCTTTGAGACAGGTGTTGGAGTTATCCAAGCAGCAACATACTTCCCTTGCCATGGACTTGGATAAAGGGAGAGTAGGGAATCTTTCTAATTTCAACGCACAACACCCATTTGTTGAGTCTACATTTGGGGAACAAAGACTTGGTCCAAATATTACCAGTCCACAGCATGTTTCTGGAGTTGCCATGGTTTCACCCTCATCTGGTGCTTATACTAGGTTGGGTGTTAATGTTGAAAGAACAGCCCCTGTGACAGGCAAGAAATTGTCCTTCTTTCCAATTGATGTTACAGTCTGGTTATTACCTTCTAATGACCGTTATTGCGGTTGTAACATGAAGTTTGTATGATAATGTTTTGTTTGTCCAGATTTGAACAACTTTTTTGACTTCTCAACTTCGACTCAAGGGAATCCATTGCTTTCCAGAGAGGTTGATCTGCAGTGCCAATTTTCTCATGATTGTCTTCCAAATAAGCAGCTTTCTTTGAGGTTAGTTTGGCAATTATCATCTTAAAATAGCAGTGGTATCATATACCTCTTGGAAGTTGGGTCTGCAAACTTGTTTTTGTGCATCCTGATCAATCTGCAATGTAATTCTTTGGTTTGAATTGAAACATCATCAGAAGAACTATAAATTGGGGCTTCTAAATCAAATTGTTATTCATCAATGTTTGAGATTATTCTATGACTGGTTGCCAAATAACTGCTTTCAAGGGTAGTTGGTGGCAAGAATTCGACCCCATATCTGTTTGGTATTGTATGCATGTATTCATTTGTGTATATATGTAGAAGTGTGCCACAGAGTTTTTCTCATCCACCATTTGAGATCAAGGGGGTAATAGGCATATGTTTATTGAGCCTTAAAATATTGAATCGCATTGACATACTAATTATAGGTTGTGCTAACTTTCTATTAGCTTGAACAACCAGTTTCATTCTATAGTTTTATGTTTGTACGTTTTGATTTTCCTATTTAACCTTTCTATTTTGCTTCATCTTCACTTTCTATTTTTCTGTGGAGAAATATAGTGTATTACACTTTTTATTTTGCTTCATCTCACTCCTCTCTTCCTCAATCTCTTTGTGCTCGCTTACTCTCCTTTGACATGTGTATAAAAGACAAAATCAACTACTATTTTATTATGGTACCAACTTGCAACTTATTTTGTCTCTTATACATGTGCCAAGAGGAGTGAGAGAGTGAAAAAGAGTGTTTCTAGCATCCCTCTTTTCATCTTGATTTTTCAAATTTATAACACTGGTTCTTTACTAAGTTCAGTTTTGTGTCAGGGATATATCCCTTCTATTATAATTTGATTTTTCAAACTTGGCAGAGGTAAAATTGATACTGCCTCAAGTGAACGTCCACAATGCTACCAGAGAGTGCCTTGTGCATATTTTCAAGGCCAGTGTGGCTGTGCAACTTACACAAAGTGTTCGGGAGGAAACTGTGAGTCAAGGGTTGGAAGCTCTACAGATACCTTCAAGGATCAGTTGGGGAATGTCAATGGTGAAACCTCAATGCTAGCTGCTTCAGAACATGTTAAAGACGACGTTGGTCCAAACAGAAATATTATTCCCTTGGGCCAACAAGGAAAATCAAAGGGTCCACTACCTAAGACCATTGTCTGTCATAGTTCTCAGTGGAGAGATGTCCCCAGCAAATTTAAAGGGGTCTCCGTTGTGACAGGTTTAGAGCGTTCAGCAGATGAGTTGGATGGGAGGGGACACATGGAGGGTCAGCTTGGACATGCTACTGCTAAATGCTCTTATGGAACCATGAAGATACAGGACTCCTTGAAAGAGCAAGAAATGTCTAATGTTTCCTCCGGATGTTCTGCTGCTGCTGTTACTCAGGCATCAATTCAGATCAACAATATGGATTCTCCAACTGTTGATGCTGGGAATACTAGGTATGTAAATAATCATTTGGTCGATGAAGGATCAGGCATTGACAAATGCTGGTCGTCAGATGATGCCCTTGAAAGTGAAAGAAGTGCTGAGTTCCTTGGCTCTAATAGTAAGACTAACTTCAGTAAAGAAGGATCGTCCAAAGTTTTAAATAATCAATCATCGCGTAGTCTTCTTGACGAGCTTAAGCTCTTAGATGCCTTGACATGGAAGAAAAACTGGAATCAATTCCATACAAGGCTTTCCTTTCATGGAAAAGTCGATTTGAAAAAAAGTGAGAGAGGCTTTAAAACTGGGAAGAGAAAGAAAACAAGGAAATTCAGGATGCTGGAGGCACCATTTCTCACTGCTGGTACTTCAGTAGTACACCATGAACATCCTAAAGGTACCGACACCTTTGAGCCTGGCTTATCCAAAGATGTGGAAATGCTTCATCCATCTGTGCAAGAAACTTATAGGTCTGGTTCTTGTTCTCTTGGACCTGGTTCTAAATTTGGAAGGTCTACATTGTCTTCATCCAAAGAACTGTCTCGTAAAAGAGATCTACAAATGGTTTATGATCATAGAGATGGGGAAGATGATTATCAGATGGAACTAAACAGCAACTCTAACCTTGGAAAAATCCATGATCTTTCAGGCACAAAGAAATTAAAAAGGGGTTGGACTTCTGATTGTCTTAGGAAGTCTCAGATGGAAGAACAAACACATGTAAACTCTAAGAATACCGTAAGGTGCAAGTCATTTGGCTTTATGAAGGTTTCCTCTCTTAGGAAAACAAGGCCTGTAGTTTGTGGGAAGTATGGTGAAATATCTAGTGGAGAACATACTGGAGATGCATCATGGCGAGTAAAACTTGTTCCTCTAAGTAAGGTTCTCAAAACTGCTAGAAAATGTTCACTCCCTGAAAATTGCAAACCCAAAGTAACTTACCCGAAGGAATTGAAGAAGGCACAGTTCTGTGGAAGTGATGCAGATTTGAAGAAAGAGGAAGAAAGTGGAATCCATCATGCTTCAATTTGTAATGAAATGAACATTGACCCTTCCGTGGAAGGTGACAAGATTCGCCCTAATGGGAACAAGCTGTTTGTTGATGAGAAATCCACTTCAGAGGAAGAGTGTGATAATGAAGGCAAGAAAAAGTGCAGGACTTTGAACTCTAGTGGTCATGCTAAATTGAAGCCTAAGAGTAAGGAAATTCGCAAGCGCAGTCTTTTAGAACTAACAAAGAAAGGTAATTGTATCAATATTATTTTGTATTAGCTCATTTTAGTGATGCATGTTTAGTAATTACTGAACCCAAAGCCTAAGCTAATGGGTACAGGGTTGACAATGGTATTTAAGCTCTAGAAATGCTCATCCCCATAAATTTCATACAAGGAATTTTAGTCTAATGACTCTCAGGCAACAGCCTTAGGTGTTTCTGTGGGTTTAATAGGTTAAAAATTATGTCCTTAAGTTTATGAGCTAAACAAACTTATTTCAATTGATTTTTTCTATGTGTGCATTAGTTTGCCACTTTAATAATATGCCTTGGCCCCTAATTATTGGCTTTTTTTTTTTTCAAATTATTTGCATCACTAATATTTGTTAATTATCAGGAAGAAAATTCAGTTCTGAAAGTTTTGCCCCTATGAAGAGCTCAAAAAGCATGTCAAAAATGAAAATGGGGAAAATTCTAAAGAATGTCGAGGGTAATAAGCATCATATTGGTGGATCATGCAAAGTTGGTGTTGAAAAGTAAGTGAGGAAGTTGATACAGAAAAATAATTTGGAAACCTTTTGTTATTGCTTTGGTTAATTGTGCACTGTGAAAGTTGCAATTATTTTGATATTAATGGGTTATAATACAGATTTAATCAGGAGCACAAGTTTTTGTCTGCTATGGATTTAGAAGCATTCTGCTGTGTGTGTGGAGGCTCAAACAAAGATGAAATCAATTGCTTATTGGAATGCAGTCGATGTTTCATCAAAGTAGGTGGTGGTTCAGATCTTTTTGAGCTTGATTTCTTATGACTTTCTATTTTGTAATACTAAATAACCAGTGTGATTTGTAGGTGCATCAGGCTTGCTATGGTGTTTCCAGAGTACCTAAAGGTCACTGGTATTGCAGACCATGCAGAACCAGTTCTAAAGATATTGTAAGAAATCTGTTAGTAAATGTTTCTTAATGTGTTTTAGACCTCCTTTATTGTATTGCATTTTCTGCACTTTGTATGATTGATCCGAAAGATGTATATAGATCTATTACCATTGCTTCATACTATAGTGTTTGGATGTAGTGGGGGTTATGTTGATTATCTCTACCTTATGGAACACCTTATCTGTGTGGTTAGATTGTTATGAATTCAAACTTTTGGGTTATGCTAGCTGCATAGTGCATCTAAACTTTGGTTAACATTTGGTAGGTTTGGAAATTGACATTTATATATGATTAATGGCCTAAAATCAATAGTCCAATTACATAGATTTTGCTGGTTTTGCAAGACATTAATTGATGTTCATCAAACTGAATCTGACCTTATTTTTCTGTTTGTCTAAGGCAACATGTTGGGTATAACATTGTATATTTGCTTAGTGTTAATGCTAACGACAGAGTAAGATGAAGATACATATTTGCTTGGCTATCACAATAATGTTTTATGTATTAGTTCCTCTTGTTCATCTTTGTATTGTAGATTTCTCCTATTTATCTTGTTAAATTAGTAATCATGAGGATATGGCTGCTTTTCATCTATACTTTTTTATCTAGTGGTCCTAGAATATGGATCTCTAGGAGAGTTGGTTTACTCTTGACCAATCTTAGCTTCTTTATGAATTATTCTAAGATCAACTGATTGTTGTTTAATTTGGTGGTACATATTTGTGTACCCATACTTGTGGCTAACTTCAGCACTAGATGCATTTTTATCGCATTCTTCTTGTTCTGTATTTCTATTGAATCTACAATGCTCTGCCACCACCCAGGTTTGTGTTCTCTGTGGTTATAGCGGTGGGGCTATGACTCAGGCACTTCGAAGTCGCACAATTGTCAAAAGCCTTTTGAAAGCTTGGAATATTGAAACAGAATGCAGGCCCAAGAATGCTGTATCTTCAGATGAAATTGTGGAGGATGATCTGAATGTGATGCGTTCACCTGAAGCTATACTCGAAGGCAATAACTTTCCAGTGTTAAGACCTGTAAATATTGAGCCATCAAGTACTGCTTTGTGGAAAGTGGATTCACCAAGCCAGTTGGATAATATTCAGAATTCCTCGTGCTGTGTGCATAACAGCATTACTGCTGGGGTACTTGATTCAACTGTTAAGCAGTGGGTTCATATGGTCTGTGGGCTCTGGACACCTGGAACACGATGTCCAAATGTTGACACCATGAGTGCCTTTGATGTTTCTGGGGCTTCACGTCCCAAAGCAAATGTGGTGAGTGTTGAACTTTAATGAACTTGAGGGAAACTCAATACACCCTCTAGCATGCATTTAGGTGTACTTTTGAAAGCATGGGTTTAGACTTAGTGGATCATGTAATCGTTTGGTTAGTTGTCATGCAAATAGACAATGTTCATTTGTTAACTGTTGAGCATTAAATCTTGAAATTATAATAGTTCTTTCAAAATTGTGCATTATATATAATCTTGTTCTAAGTGATTAAGTTGTTCCGTGAATAAATGGAAATAGTCACTGTTGTTATTGTTTCTTGTCTTTATCATGTGAGTGAATCATTTTACTAAAATTTAAACAATTAAAGTGCATGTTGGTAATATATTTTTGTAATTCAAATTATGCCTTAGCAACCAATATTCTGCAACTTTTGAAGTTTTGAGAATTATGCTTTTATGTAGTCATACTTACTATGTCTTTTGATAGTCACGATCTTCAAAAATAGTAAAGTAGATGTAATTTTCTCCAGGTCTGCTCTATGTGTAATCGACCTGGCGGCTCATGCATACAGTGCAGGGTTGTAAATTGCTCTGTTCAGTTTCATCCCTGGTGTGCTCACCGGAAGGTTTGTATTCGTATTGGGAAAAGTTGAAACTTTTTCTACTTTATAGTCATAATTTATTCAAGACATTGCTTTGTTGTCCAAGTAAGATGGCTGCGATTCACTTTTCAATATATTGATGTTGGTTAACTCAATAATCCTTGTCAGTTGGAAGGTTGTTTTAAGGAGTTCTTTGTATTTGAATTTCATGTGAAAAAGTAAGCAGGCCCATTGATCTTTTGTAAACTGTAGTTTACATCTGATAGGAAAGAATTGGTCTGATCCTGATAAATATCAAGATATATTATTTAAACTGGTAACAAGAAAATTTCATGATTCCATTCTTTCAACCATTTTGACACATATCTCCAATAATGGCACATATCCCTTCATTATTGAGTACGTAATGGCACATATCTGTAATTAACATATATGTTTTTTAAGTCATGTATATTTTTAAAATTTTATGATTCCATTCTTTCAACAATTTTATGTATGCTAGTAACTGGGTTGTTCTTTCCTTTCTTTCATTTTTTTTTTTTTTTTTGTTTTGAAAAATCTCTTATATTTTGGGTCAAACAGAGGGCTGTACATTGAGGGTTGTCTTTCTAGGTTTCATGATTTGGTATATGATGGAAAATGTCATGTTATAATGATAAGTGAATGATTTGGCAAAAACATTGCAAGGTATGACTTTTTATTTCTCTTTCGAAGTCAACTTATAGAGCATGGTGTTGGTGAAGGAAATGAGGTAGCTTCTCTACACAGAGCAGAGCTGTATATTTTTTCTCAACCTGACTTTTTTTTAAAAATAATCTCTGATGTTCTATTTTTTTTTTCACCTGTAGCATGTCCAGTGGGTTTTTTTTTTTTTTTTGAAAATGTGTTTTTTTTACAATCTATTGTTTGCCAAAGTGAAGATTGTTAATTTGAGTAGTTGAAGGATTATTGCTTATTCATTGGTGTTTTAAGGCTTTTGATGTTCGCTTCTCTGTTGTTTTTTTATTTAGGGTCTCTTGCAAAGTGAAGTTGAGGGGGTTGAGAATGAAAATGTTGGTTTTTATGGAAGATGTGTGCTCCATGCAACTCACCCCTTGTGTGAATCTCATAGTGATCCCATTGACAATGAGCTGGATTGTTCGGGAGAGAAGGAATTAACCTGTGCTAGGACAGAGGTACTTTGTTCATTGTTTGAGGGTTTTATGCTTCTCTTTCTGTTTCTCTCTTTCTCTCTCAGGGGATGGGGGCAGTAACATTTGCTGAGCTAAGGGATTCATCACCATTGTCTTGATTATTTGGTCTTTGTAACAGGGTTACAAGGGTCGAAAACGGGATGGCTTTTGGTATAACCTTTATGGTTGGTCAAGAGGAAAAAGTGGACTTGTTCCTCAGGAGCAGTTAAATGCTTGGATTCACATTAATGGTCAGAAGTCAAGTGCGCAGGTGTTTCCAAAGCTGCCTATTGAGTATGATTGTCGGGTACAGTCAAGCTGTTTTTTCTAGTTAATGTGGTTTTGGTCATTTAAATTTTTGCATGAAAATCTGAATAATAAGTAATATTATTTCATTAAAAAATGACTCTCTCTTTTCATGATACAAATACATCCTTGTTAGAAAATTCTATTTTTATTGAAACTGACATAAATTTAAAAGCATCTGATCTGTATATTTTTATGCCTTTGTAATTACAGAATATACTTAAGATTATGTGGTTTTCTGTTTTAATACTTGTTAGTTCAAAATTTTCTTTTGAATCTATCTCTAGCTAATAAAATATAGGGCATATTTAGCCATTCTTCCAATACTAAAACCTTTTGTTTTAGGATTTTATAACCTATGCCATACTTTCCATTGACAGAGAGTAGGAGGGGTCTTGTTCTGGTTTTTCTCCCTTCCATTATATTAGTTCTTGTTTATTCCTAATTGCTAGTAGTAATTGCAGCATTCTATTCTATGTTATAGAACTTCACCAGTTGATTGCATAGGAACTACGGATGGCATTAATTTCTGTACTTCTTTTCCTGTTACAGAAAGAATATGCTCGCCACAAGCAAGCAAAGGGTTGGAAACATTTGGTAGTTTACAAGTCTGGTATTCATGCCCTTGGTCTTTACACATCTCGGTTCATTTCCCGTGGTGAAATGGTTTGACTTTGACCTTGTCTCTAAACATGTGAAAATTAAATTTTTCTATGACTTGAAAATAAATGTGCTTTTGTGCTTCATAGGTGGTTGAATATGTTGGTGAGATCGTGGGGCTACGTGTGGCTGATAAAAGGGAAAACGAGTATGACTCAGGAAGAAAGCTTCAGTACAAGAGTGCTTGTTATTTCTTCAGGATTGATAAAGAACATATTATTGATGCAACATGCAAGGGGGGGATTGCTCGTTTTGTCAATCATTCGTGCCTGGTAATTGCTGCTTTCATTCAGATTCTAAGTTATATTTTCTTTCTCTATGAAATTTTTGCTACAATTTGATAAGTCCCTGTCCATCTTGCAATTATACAGTTAGAATATGAATATATGATATCCATTTTTATGTTAAGTTTCTTAGATTTAACCATTAACTCTGTTATAACAAGTTTTAATTGGATCTACGCTCTTTAGTGAGAAGTACTTTGGTTTACAGTTGTGTGGTTAAACATTTAGAATATGTCTTTTATTTCAATTCTGTGGTTTTAACTGTGGTTTCTTTGTTCTCAATCTACTTGAGCAGCCAAATTGCGTGGCCAAAGTGATCTCCGTAAGGAATGATAAAAAGGTAATTGGGAAACTATGTTATGAATATGTACGCATTGAAGTTCTATACACCCAGATGTGTGCTTTGATGGGACAATGCTTGTAGTTGGCTGTGCGTTTATTTATGCAATTTTATAGAGATCATAAGACCAGTTTAATTATATAGTTTGTTTGGACAATGATGGGTTAAAAGGTTAAAGTGATTTTAAACAATATTATGGTTTGCAGGTTGTCTTTTTTGCTGAGAGAGATATTTATCCAGGTGAAGAGATAACATATGACTATCATTTTAACCATGAAGATGAAGGGAAGAAGATCCCTTGTTTTTGCAATTCAAAAAATTGCAGGCGATACTTGAATTGATGATATATATATATATATATATATATATATTCAACATCCTTGTAAATAGTAATTCTTTTTTTGTATCACCCAAATTTTGGCTTCTGTTGGCATAAAATGTGATCCGAACATTGCTGGAAATTTTGTTGGTGAAATTTATGCACATGCAGAAGCTGAGGCAGAAGCTATCAACGATTTGGGACTCTCCTTTTGTTGAAGTAAAAAGCTGTTCAGTAGTTTGCTTATTCTTTAAATTGCGTGCAAAAATTCCCAAAATGTCTGTTAATTCCCAGTTTAAACATGTTCTGTACCTTCCTCATCCTCACGCTTCACAAGTAATATTCTATGGAAAACTGTTTATTGACACTGTTAGTGTTGGGTTCCAAAGGGAAATGTGTTACGTTTCTTCATAATAAACCTACAAAGTACAAACAGGCCAACATTGGATCATTTCGGGGCTCGCACCCACAAAGGTCATGTATGCGCAATTAAACTAACAGAAAGGATTTATAACATATAAAATAAGTGTAAAAAATTTCTTTCGCGTGCAGATCCCAAATGGATATTGAGTGCTTATAACTTCATCAAAAACTGGATGCCGCTATATTTCTATACCATCTTCCATCAATTCATTTTTTTTTTTTTTTTTACGTCCCCCAGTTTGGAATGTTTGCTGTGGCTTCATTCACCATTTTCACCAGTGTCACCTGCCAAAATACATTGCTTATAAAAGCTCAATTGGAAGGAAAACAAAGTAAACAAGGGCCAACCTTCTTATTGAATTGATGGGCACTTCAACGTTAAGTGTTTCAATTGAAACAGATTTACGATATTATTAATGTCTTTATTTTCTATCCCTTACAATGCATGACCCATATATTCTTATGTATAATAACCTGTGGACTTGTCAAGCTATAAGCTTTCAACCTTAAGCAAATGGCTTAACATATACTGTACTTCTTTTACCATCTTCCTGTTTTGTCTCTACATCTTAAAAACAATGCAGCTGTATGCCACTAAATTGTATTTTGTAGATGATGGCATTTTCTTAACAATTTATGAGAAAGTAAGCATGCTCAGATGGACACTGTCTCTATTCATATATAAGCACCAACTAAATCTTAATGAATCAAGTATTAAATATGTTTTTTATTTAGAACCAGAAGAGTTAAAGGAACCAATGGCTCTCATTTTGATATTATTTCTGTTATACAACAACTATGGGAAAAATCTAGTTCTACAAAGTGAAATTAAACATACCACACTTTCTGGGACACCAGGTGGAGGCAGGGGCAGGTTCTTTGGTGGTACAACAGTATCATAAGATCTTTTGTCAAACCTCCATTCTCCAATCTTACCATAAGTCAACTTACCCTGAAAATTATAGAACAAAAATCCAACACTATAAAGTGGACCAACAAACTCTTGTTGTTTATCAGAATGATACATGTCCAACAATCAAAATGTCAGAAGTACTTTTGTCAAAATTTTACTGCCACCAGGTAACAAAATAGAGAGATCTCTGTAATGAATATAATACCTTCATATCATAGTCACATCCGTAAGTGTAATGGATTATGTACTTGTTGCCAACTTCAGTATCCCAAGGAGGCTGATAAATGTCACAGAAAAGTAAACTGCTAGTAAAGGTGCTGGGAATAAATTGGAATTAGCAAATAGATTTATGAAGGGCACCAGTAAGTTGCTAGATGAAAAATTCAGCAGGAATTTTGGAAAAGTTAACAATAGATTGCACTCAAAGAATGCAGTCTTTTCACTGCACTTTTCATAATTTTGAAGAAACGAAATCAATATTAAAGATTTAAGGAAGGGGCACACTTGACATTAAGAACGCTCCAGGAAATAAGAAATAGAGACCGGAATATAACAAAAGGTTGAAGATGACGCTCAATCATTGACTTGCCATTAGGAGGGCATTATAAACTAGCTCAGTTGCTATCCTGTAGCACGCCAGAAAAGTATCAAGCAAAAGAGTATCATCCAACCTGAATCATGAAGTCCTTGTGTAAAATGTTGGCAACACCATGCAGAGCAGAAGCAACAGCATAGGCATACCTTATACATGAAACAACAAGAGAAAATAATTAAAAAATATAATTATAATGTAAAGCAACATAGCACATAACTCCGTTAATAAGCAAAATCTCACATTTCAAGCACCCAACCAAAAGCCTTATCTGTTTCAGGATCCTTCTTCATTGCCAAGGACACATTCATCCAAGTGGGAGCAATCTTCTTAAGAGAATCCTATCGAAGTTTCACAAAAACCAAAAGTAAAAATATCAATACATTAACAAACCGGGCAAAAACCAAATCATAACCATAACACATTGTGATATATACCTTCCCAACAATAACTGGAGAATTCCCAATAGGGTCAATGTTTGTTATTGGTCCCTTCTCCTCGGGGAAGTACTTTCTCAGAGTAGACTCATACTTTTTCGGTTCAATATAAAAGAAAGGAAATGCTGCTCCAAGCCCATCTTTAGCCAAATTTGGTATGGGCTTGACAATGATATGATCTGGCTCTGACATCAATATGTAGCTGGATTCATGAAAAAACAGAATAAATAAAATCAAAGTGCCAACAGACACAAAATTGACTCATCATTGAAAGTAGGGAATCTTGGGTTTCATACTCTTCTTTTATGTTTGCTTGTTGAACCCATTGTACAAACGCCCATGGTCTGTTCAGAACTATATAACCCTGTGATTATGAAATGCTGTGAGATGCAAGCTGCAATAAATAGAAGACAAATACTATCCAATACCAGGAAGGACACAGAAAGCATAACAATCTTAAACATCAAGCCCATAATTATTTATCAGAATTTTGGCATTCAGTAAGCAATACGAATTCCGATATTTCCTGAACCGGGGATCTTGAAAGAACTTTCCATTTGTATCATATTTTAAACTTGTTTCTGAAAAGCGATTTTAATCAATAAAAATAACAAATCGGATTTACTGTTTCCAGACACCGAGAATGCCACTGGTAGCGTTTTCTTGAAGAATTATTAAATGAGACGACAATAAAAACACATGCTTTTCAGATTCATTTCACTAAAAATACCTTTTCCAACTTTCGTTAACAAAACTTGTAAAACAATTTCACATTTTCTAAAAACTTATATTTCCATAAAACAACATTACCACCCTTTTGTGCTTGGAAAACGAAAAAACAATACTCCAAACTTCTGCAAATTCCAAAATCTACAAAGGTCAACAAATTGTCCCATACCTGATCCGTGCCAGGTGGCAAAGGCTGGGCAACAAAAGTAGGGATCTCATCCATAAACTTATCAGGTTTACCAGAGTGCAAGATCCTGGTGAAGCCACCCATCTCAGAATTAGGGCCGTCCCTGAACTTCTTGAACCAGTAGTACATAATTCTACACTGCCACGTGTTGTACACAGAATCCGATGATGTAACCGCCGTGTGAAACAATCTCTTCTTACCGTATTTTCGTGATCTGTCGAGTGGCATCTTGATCACAGGGTCCACTGAGATTGATGATGATTTTGATGGACCAGGGAGCTCTTGCTTCAGAGGAGCATTGGCCGAGATTATTATGTTGTATGTAATTAGAGCTACAGAGAATGTTACGAGTAAGTTGTAGAACAAATTTCCACACCCCATTTTCTCACTTCTTCAATTCTTTTCCCTCACTCTCTCCCTCCAAACATATATATATATATATATATATATTATCTGCTCTTTGTAATAGTTTGTATAACTAATTGTGGATGCGTATAGACTTTTTGTAATTGTAGATGACAAAAAGGAGCAAGAAGCTGGCGGCTTAAATTAAATAAAAAACAAAAAAATATATTAAAGTCGTCGAGGATTTGTTGGGGAAGTGGCTGATCTGTCTGTAAACTCTAGTCTTTGATATTTTGCTAATTTTTTTTGTTTTTTTAATTTTTCAGTTGGAGTTTTGGGCTTTCGCTATGAGCTTGTCTCACGGGTCCAATCTGGTAATTAAATATTAAGTTGCATTTATTTTGATATTTTATATATTTATGATATATTATCTATATATTTTTGTCATACTTTTTTATTTATTTATTTATTTTTTAATGACTAAAAGTGTTTAGACCAGTTTACGTTTATTTTTAACTAATCCTCTCAGATTCTGAAATTAACGATCGAATAAATTCTCCAATAATCACTCTCATTAACAATTCAAGAAAATCGAATACAAAAATCTTTAATAATACACCCAAAAATAGGGCTGAAAAAAAAAACCGAAAACCGAATCGAACCGAGAAACCAGACCAAAAAACTGGTTAACCGGTTTCGGTTTCAAAAATTTGTTAAACCGGTTTCCGGTTCGATTTCTGATTTATATTATTTTTGTAACCGGTTTAATATAAACCGGTTTTCTTATAATCCTAATATAATAATATTATTTTAATTTTTAAAAATCTTTATTATCTTTATTCTTTACTAGTTTGAATCCCTCACTTCACAGTTCACACTCGTACTCCTTCTCTCAAACTCCAGTAGCCGCCGCTGCCCTCTCAAACTCATCTTCTTCTTCATTACATTTACAGATTTACTCGTCTCTCCTCCAGTCCTCCTCCCGTCCTCTCCTCTCAAACTCGCTTGTTTTCTCTATCTTCTTCTTTATGCACGCGCCATGGTGTAACCTTAGCAGCCGGGGAAGTTGTTTGGCTTTACAGCAACCTTACGCTCTTTCCACAGGTTGGTACTCATTCCTTCCTCTTGAACCTTATTTTAGCTGAATGGAAATGCATTTCGAGCATATAGTTTTTTCATACTTGATTGTCATCTTATTTGGTCCTTTTTTCATTTTTAATTCTTGATGGATCAAACTGCCAGAAATTTAAAACTCATGAAGTGCATCATTAAGCTTGACTGATGTTTGGAAAGAGGATACAGGTCATAGCTGGTATAGTTCCTGGTATTGAGAAAACCCGTCTCTATAGAATGACTTACTTGGTTCTTAAATATGTGCTGATGAGTTAAGATAGGACAACAAAATCATTGAAAAAAACACACAGATCTCATGAATCTTTTTTTGTTTTCAAAATTTAAGTTGAATTAAATTATAATATGATTTTCTGAAAAATTCAGTTGGATTATATGTTATATAAACATAAGATGTGATGAAATGAGATCTGCAATTTCTGACATAAAGCAGAAAAATAAGCAGCTCACCACTTGCACAAACGTGAGTAGCACTCAGATTCAGAAAAATAATAATGACTTCAATTAATCAAATTTAGAATATGTATAATTTATATTTGTCTTGCAGTTATTGGTAGTAGGATCATATATTTGCATTAAGTTAGATATTAAGAATATTTATAAGAAATCCTATGAAACTTCGTAAAAAGAAAAATCTGAGCCACTATAATCAATTTTAACAAATCATAAAACATGCCAGCAAATGAGAAACCCTGTTAAGTCATTTCAGAATCAGAAATGACCACATTTTTCTATATGTTTAATCACAGAGAGGGATCAAAATCAAAGTCCAGGAACAAAACTGACCACAATCTGAATTCTTTGCTTATTTTTTTTTATCATGTCATGGACCTCATGTTCAAGAAGACAAATTGAACTCAACTGAACTGCAACATATATTATCATTGAGTTTTTCTAAACTTTGAATCAATTGTGCAGCCAAAATTTGGTGGGAAAATAATAGACATTGTCTCTGGAAATATTGGAAGTTTGGAACACCTGAACAGCAAGCTGCATCTTTAAACGCAGTCAGGGACACCATCCTTGGGATCTTTCTTATTGTTGTTGTTGGGTATGATAATTTCTTGCTTACTCTTGATATATGAAATATCAGTAAAAGATTTACTTGTCTATTTGCTTCCTAATCTGCTATTTGTTTAAACAATTCTTAATTAATTTTATGTCTCCCATACAAATACTTTTAGGCGTCAAATATCATGTCTCCAACAATAAAATATCATATTTACCTTAAGGAAATTCATACTGTGTAATATTTGGGCAATCAACAATAAAATATCATATTCATAAGCTTATGATTTTTAAAAAGATCATTACATTGTTTTAGGCAAGCAGCACATTCCAAAACCCGTAGAAGAATTAGTCAATTAGATGCCATTAATGTAGATAAACAGATATACCTTACCTGCTTGGTGAATAGATTTCAGCTGTATTGCTATATATGATTGATGGACTGATGAAATGATTTATACAGGCAGATTATCATTATATTATATATATAAAAGCAGTATCTTATATTTAATAAAATGTATCAAATTAAAACCATTAATTATACATGATTTTGACAGCCCTTTATGATTTTAAAGTGTACTATGTAATGCCTGATTTTGACAGCCCTTTTGTGCAGTTCGGGCTGAGTTGAACTTGATAGACAAATGGTGCCATGAACTTGGTTCGCTCTGTTATAATTGTTACTGTCTTTTAAATCATACTGTTGTTGCTCCATTATAAAAGTTTTGACTCTTGTATTGTTTGTACTTTCAGTGTCTGGTTTGCAATTTCTGTCGTAGATCCATGCACATGCACATATGGAGGGAGGAAGAACACAGATATGTCTCTGCTTCAGCCCAGAACTTCACCTTTCTGTCATGGAAAAATCTTGAAGCTGGTCTCTGAAATAGAGAGGCTTTGCCTGCATGCTTTGGTCTTGGGTAGACGATTAGGCTAAATTTCTTGCATTAACTTCTTATTTAAGTATGCAGTATGTTTTAGGATTATTATTTTATATTGTAAGTTCATTCATCCACACACAGGAGAAACTATACATTTTTCCCGTGCCTAATCCCTCCAGATTTTGCACAGATTTTGAGCTAATTTGGGGAATTGGCAGTTTGGCACCTTTAATGTATTTACCTTCAATCTGATTAAGTACTTACATTTAGAGATTAGGTGTAAAAAAAAAAAAAATAGAAAAGAAAAATACATCAATAGCTAGACCTGTAAATTAACAGACATTTTTTTTTTTTTAATCAAAGCAATACGGGATATGGGATGATAGTAAAAGAAAATTACAAAATCCAATTATTTGAATATGTGTTAAAAGTTATTTTTGAAATGTACTCAAATTGATATTACAATAGGAAATCTTTTTATCATAACATATTAAAAAAAAGGCAAAAAAAAAAAATTATTAATAAAACCGGTTTGCAAACTGGTTAACTGGATTGCAAACTAAAAATCTGGATCGGTCTGCAAACCGGTTTATATAAAATTTGGACCGGTTTCGGTTTGTAATATGGCTTGAACCGAAAAACCGGTTCGGTTACAAAAAACATGTATCCGGTTCGATTAACCGGTTTTTTGTAACCCTACCCAAAAGCTTTTATCACCCGTCTCTGTCACCCAAAGGTGATTTTTTTTTATACTAACATTAATAAAGGATAGAAATTATTTTTATCGTTTCTCGTATTTTAAATTAATCTTTTGAGATTGCATAATAGAATCATTTTTCAAAACATTTTACCAAAACTGTTTCCTGAATTTTATTCAAAGCAATCAAAGGGAATAGGGGCCACTATCAGCTATGGCGAGTACAGTAGTCAGACATATTAGAAATGGGTTTTCCTACTCCAACTTCGGGTTGGCACGACCACCGGTAATAACACCTAAAGCCTGTACGGTTGCCACTTTGAACAGTTCACTATTCTATTCTAAGTATGAACTAGGAAATTACGAATAATAAAAAATCACCTCATAAAGCCAATGATTTCCCATTTTTATATCAAATAAGAATACTGGTTATCAATGTTGTCAAGCCTCTTCAATTTGTTGCATGACTTAAATCCGATTGTCAGTTTCTTATCCATGGCTAACCCACAGAAGAAATCTTGACGCAACGCCACAGATGGCCAAATTAGATAACATATAGCAATACATAGTTCTTTTTCTTTTCATCTGAATAAAATTTCTACATACATATGTATATACATGAGAAAGGGAAGCAGCAACAGTTACCAATACAAAAATTTCACGAAAGATCATGAACTTCCCCGGAAGGGATTTAGACGTTTTAGACATACCTGGTATTTTCACATAAGAACTATATGATTAAATTAAATCAGGATGAAACCAACTTAAATAATTTGTCGATCTGATCAAGTTATCTCTCAACTGCCTCTCTTATGTGAGGAAAACGATGAGCCCACCGTGAATATCCTGCATCATGTTTTGAACAAAATTCTTATAACCAGTTCTGAGAAATATCTCAATTACACCAAAAATCAGAAATCCTAAAAAATTATGAACTATTGTTGGATTAAATCAGATGGAATAACGTCTAAGTTAAATAATGCCGTTAAAAAGTTCAAACTGTACAGACCTGCCGTAACTATCTCAAGAAGATCCATATCTGCTTTAGCAGCATCAGACTTATCCTGCAGTGCAACAAATAAAAACACAAGTTGACAATTATCAAATGGGTCAAGAGGCAAATTATCCGAGCAATAAAATTCTAATGATATAGATCATAGTAGACCCATCAAATTCCATGGCCTCCTTGAATTGTACCAAAGCATACTAATGGTGCAATTCAAGTCCAAGCTATATTTACAAAAATCATAAGAAACTTCTTAATAGAAACCAGAAAAAAAAATATATATATACACAAAGTTATACTTTCATGTTCATGTACCTAATTGACAGCCCTCCATCTTAGGCATAAATATTAAAACCACAAAATACATATATTTTACCTGCCCCCAAGAAGCCAAACTTCTAGCAATGAGCCGAGACAAACTATTAAGAGAGTTATTGTCAAAGTTAGGATTTTTCACAAGAGCCTCCTCTGACGTCATATCAAATATAAGAGCACAAATACTTGAAGCCATCATAATGACAGATGTGTCATCAGTGTTATCTGAAAAGAAAGGAAAAATATTCAGGAGCTTCCGTTCTTATACATAATGCTAAGTTTTCATAATAACTGCAAAACCAACATAGGATGATTGGATGAAGAATAAAAAATATGGTAATAGAATGCATCAGAAAGAAATCAGATTCGAAATATCAGCTCAGCTATCAATGCTACAGCTGATTATTTACTCAGAAGCATCACAGGCCCACAACACCCATCACCTTGGATCCTTTCTTTATCTTCAGTACATAGTTCACAGTCTCATGGTGAACTAGTTAAGAAATTTAATTCATTCATTCACATGCATAATTGAAGAAAATACTGAAAAGGTACCTGTCCGGTATGCCAATGCTTTCAAAAGATGAAGCATTGATTCATCCACTGGAAATTGCACTTGTTCCTTCTATTGTTGAAAAGAGAAAGAGTCAATATAAAGCACAGAATAAGTATTATTCACAACGCTATGATGAAAAACATACTTTCAAAAGAAGATTCAAGATTGTATCACATGCCAAGAAGATGCAACTGTTATTCTCAACCTCATTGCAACCTGGTCCAATCAATTTTATGAGGCATTCAACAACCTGTAAATAGAACAAAACATCAACAAAATGAAGAAAATAATTCACCAAGTCAGGACAGCGGAGTCAGTGCATGCAGAAAACTGAAAGGATCATAATATTCCTTTTGACATTCACAAAATCAGTATTTACTCATGGTGCCCTCAGGTTGCCATTATATGTGATAACTGAGCCAACAATACTAAAGATGTGACGGATACATGCATCATGATAATATTGTAAAGATTGATTAGAGGTAAATATAAAGAAAGAAGGAGATTATAAGATATTAGAAACAAAAATTAGCTTAGATCAATTAGAACTCACAAACTTACAGCTTTATAACCTCCAGAAGATGCCAAAGCTTTACATCCTTCAATTTCCATTGTAGTTTGACAGAGCATAGGAAGCAGAAAGCAAATAGAATAAAAAGGGCTGCCATGAAGAAATAATTTGGACAAAGTCATTATTTAATGACAATAAACCAAAACAAGACAAGTATTTATCAGTCAATGCAGAAAACATACAGAACAGTTTTCAAACCTTGGTTCATCTTCACCTTCAATCATAAGCATATACTGTAAAAGTTCTCTCACCTTCTCCTTACAAGCTACTGGCGTTTCTGCAAGGTAACTGAAACAAGGACAAATATTGATTAATTAAAGAAAACTCTTAGATATAAGCAGAATCTTCAAACGAGGAAATTCGGCATAGCTAGCGCCTAGCAGCGTGGAAGCTGTATCACATACCATACAATTAACATACTCTACACTGCTGGACGAAGTTTCTCAAGGGAAAAAAATAATAAAACAATATATAATATACTTATACAACTTCACCTCCCAACAATATCAGTTAATTGAAAAGCCAAAGAGAAAAATATGCATAAAATAGCATTAACACACCTCCCAACAAGCCGCACTGAAGCAAGAAGATCATTTCCTTTTGTTTGTCCATGTTCCTGTAGAATCACAACTGTAAGTACAAAACAAGCATGATGCACTTTCAATAGTATCAAAATCATTACCTTTGCATCCTGTAGATACTCTAGAACTACACCAATTGTTTCATTGAGCCCATTGATCACCTTTGTGAAAGTATTTTCATTGATAAGGTCCCCTGTAAACAATTCCCCAAACTAAATTCATTAACTGATGAAAAGAGAAGGTTGGAAGCACATAGTTGAGAAAACAGGGATCCCTTGCAAGAAAATTTGGTGAGTGGCAGGAACGTGTACAAATCTTTAGATCCCAAAAGGAAGGTTCCATGTGAAAACCAAGTTATACATAAGAAGTCAAATGTTCCACAAAGCTATAAAGTAACCAAATGTGAAATGAACTGAAACCAATAAGACCACATGCAAAGATAAATTTCTTCAAGGAAAAGTGAATGGCAATTGCTAAACATCACTTGCTATCATCTAACAGAAAAGAACAATCAATGATATCTCTTAACTTGGAGTGTATCTCTCAAGCAATCCTGATGTACCTTCGTTTTCACCAATGTTTGATATTAACTTTATAATCTTCTCTACCAGGGAAAAGGCAACAGCCACATTCCGTTGCTTTAAGACAAAATTTTCAGAGGTTGTTGAAGTATTCTTAGGAGCTTCATATTTCAAGTAGGCAAGCTCATTTAGCAAAACAGCAATCTCAACCCTTGATGACTCTAAGACAAGCAAAAGGCACCTGAAAAATAAATTACCCTGAAAATAAATTACAGCCCCATCCAATATATGTTGACACAGAACCACCAGTTTTAACAAACATTGCTTACCTGTCAACTGGAATAGAGTCCTGTATATCAGGCAACTCTATCTTACTGATCAGCCATTCTTCACCCATTATAGAAACCATAGATTCAGCCAAAATAAGGGCTTGAAGCTTCTCGGCAGGTGCTGCACATTTGAAAGACCAAAAATTGAAAAGGAAAAGCTTCAATCTGAATTTGAAAATTTCAAGCCAACAAAATGCTATAAAGAGCATATGAAAAATTCAAATGCTAATTCCATCTTTTTGAGTATAAACAAATTAAAAAATATAAATAATTTAAAAAAGAAAAGGTCAAAGACCCAATATCCATGTGATACATATAATTTACATGACAAGAAAGAATCAGAACATTGCTATACCTGACAACCCAAAGATACTGAACAAACAAAACAATCAGACAAACTGTTTGAAACATAAACCCTGATCAGCATAAGGCCCAATATCCACGTAATAGATATAATTTACATGACAAGAAAGATCTAATTATAACAATCGCTTAAATTTTATTAGCATAAGAGATGTAGAAAATCTAGCAGCTTATGGAAAATTCAATTCATGGAACAAATCCTACAAGCTAAATAGAGAGAGCACATTCAAAAACACGATGCACATCCTCACCACATCAATTTAAAAAGAGAATGAGAGAGAGAAATGTACATGATAGACAAATTAGTCCAACATACCAACACGGTTCTGTAAAATGGCTACAATACCAACATACATATACATTGACCAAATTCTGTCTGGCATTAACCGAAGAGCAGCATGAAGAGGTGCCTGAAATATTACGATGGCACCACTGTCAGTGATGCAAAACACAACACATATGGCCTTAATAAGTTCAAAACTTAAACCAGGAGTAAAAGAAATTGAGAAAAAGCAAAAAGCAGGTCAACCAAGAATAGATGAAACTTCTAACTTTCTAACTAGATGCAAGCAAACATAATTGCACTCCTGAGCAAATCAAGCCAAATTACACAAAACACTAAACTTATAGTAAGAGATCAGAAGAACATATTTGATAGATTTAGTTTCATTTATTTATCCACTATTCATTAAATAATAATGCCATAAACTAAAATTTAAGGCTGCTTTAAATTTTCAAAGTTGAACAAATTACTCAAAATTTAGCCCAAAGAACTCAACTCATATGCCTGCCAATTACACCTATACATATAGTTTACCTTCTCCTAATCAACATATAATTTGCCAAATCTTAAAACTGTAACTGAAAAGCTTTAATTTCTGTATCTGTGAACAATGAAACAAACTTTTATAATTTAAGCAAGCATGATTTGTTGCTGACTTTCTGGAAGAAAATAATTAAGGTAATGAGTGCATACCGAGTAATGTGAAGATAAAATGGCAGAGAGTAAGTGAAGTGATTCAAACTTCAGTGCATTGTGTAACATAGCAAACTGTCTAGCTATTGTCACCGCCTGAATAAAAATGGTTAAACTCATTAAAATCAAATACATTAGGTGGACTACAAAAAGGAAAAGGAAAAAAGAAAAAACTCAAAATTCAATAGGATAAAAGGTAGCTACGGAATAGTTGACTTACCATCATTGACAGCTCTGATAAGTGATCATTCATAATAATTTCCAGAGAGAGCTTACTCAGCATCAATTGTACAAGTTTAATAGCAACTTCCATTGAGTGAGAACCTACAAAAATTAGCCGCCATCACTTCTTGCTAATTGTATGTATGGTACACAAATTCATAACAATACAAGATTAGTGCACTGTCCTTGGAAAATGGATGAAAAACAATAATTTTTTACTAATTACAGAAAACTTGATGGACAATAACAATGTTCACAAGGCTCAGAGTTTGCACCATCCGGCAAAGTAGACATCTGAGAAACCAGCACTCTCATGCCTCCACATTCAAACAATGTTGTGACTCCATCTCCAGTAGCTGCTGTTACCAGATATAAAAACTCAAAGCATTCTTCAATAACAGATGCACCGGCCCTGTGTTTCAAGAAAGAAGATATGGTAAGATAACACACTTCATTAACTTTTTCCGTTCTCAGTCTCAATAGCTCTTTCTATAACCATCAATTTGATAGATAAGATAAAGAATCAGAACTTTACTCCTTTGACATTATTTCTACGATAAACGGAATCTTCGCAACCATATCTTCCGAAGAAGCAATCTCAGGAACACGGCAAAATGCAGCAAGAACCGTAAGTGATGAGAAAAGTTCAAACTAAACCTAGAAATTTCTAGAGAGAAAAATATGAGAAGAATTTCATTGATTAAAAAATTGATTTTTTACAACCACTTAGAAACTTATATACAAGACTTGAAACGCCACCGTTTTCACTTATTTACAATACAGTACAACAACTTGTGAACTTAATACTCTGGTCCTATGATAAAAACATCTTTGGTTAACAAGTGATAGCTGCAGATATGCATCACGATTAACGCCTACGCTGCTACTACTATTCGTTCCTTTTCCCAATCCTAGCAAAAAGAAATATACAAAACAATAGAATTTAACTTTTCCCAATCCTAGCAAAAAGAAATATACAAAACAATAGAATTTAATATACACAACACATTTTAAGAAGAGTTAAATAATACAATTACAAAGTTTACATCCATAATAATGTATGACATTCTTAAAACAAGTAATTTGAAAAGTTCTATGTAATTTGACAATCTTAAGTTACTTGATTATAATATTAATAAGAAATAATTGAACATTATTTATTTCCTGATAATATTACCAGTTCTCAGGAGTCGGTCCAGGAACCGAACACCAACTGCATCATAAACCTTGCGAAGCGAACCGACGTCGTCGCCTTTACAAAATTTAGTGACGAGAAGCAAACCAGCGAGGCGTTGTTCATCTCTCTCGCCTTTTAACAGCTTCAAGCAATCTTCTAGTGACGGAGATTGAGATTGAAACTGTTCCTGCTATGGCTGTAAGTCCTGTAAAAGACAAAATTAAGAGATAACAAACTGATAGAATTAAAGAGCAAGAAGTAAGAGAGTTTTGAGATTAAAAAAAAAAAAAAAGTTGTTTACCATTGAAGAAAAGAGCCAGGTGATGAGGCAGATTATTATGGAGCGTATTTTTAATATTTGTCTCTCGAGTTTGAATGTTAAGAGGTTTCGAGAGGCGGCTGATGTTTCCAGACCGCGGTTCAGTACAGTTAGTTTATTTGGAGGTTGTTAGGTTAGCCAATCAATTCATGCAAAAAATGGTCTAAATTCATAAGTGTAATTTTTTTTAAGATTAGGGTGTCAGCCGTGGTTGATGTACATCTCAATTAATCTCTTAGATCCTAAAACTAAACTATCCATCAGGTAAGAGTTTTATTGATGCTTGATTTTGATACCAACAACTCGAATGTGCAAAATGTTAAACTGTTCTTAGAAATTACATGTAAATGATTCATGAAAAATGTTTATGGTACTGAGATGATATATGTTTGATGAAAATCAATAAAAGATTGGCAAGAGAAATTTTTATAGAGATTCGGATGTTTAAAGCTAATCCTATATCCACTGTTATTTTATTATTCTCTGACTATTTTTCGATATTGCTTGTAAGGCGTTAAATAATGGAGAAATGTTTTGTTTACGGAGAAAAAATAATGGAGCTCAAATCTATGCCCAGCTCTCATAGTTATACCTTCATTTTCACAAAGAGAGGTACAATTTATACCTTTGAGGTTAAGTAATAAGTTTTGGAGGCGGTTTGGGTTTTGACAACTAATATCGTCTTATCTTTAAGTGTTTGTTGAACTCTGATTGGTAGTGCTAACATTAGTGTGTATTTTTGGCACAACAGTACCCCTTAGTTTTGAGGTGCGTAATTGCGCTTAAAAAACTCATATCTTAGATCTAAATGGTTGTCGTGATATGTTACAAGTCCTAAAACACTTGTAAACATGGGTGGACAATGAATTACAAGTTCTAAACACTTGCTACGGTTGAATTGAAGAATTTTACTCAAAGTCCTAACCACTTGAATTGGAAATGTGTAATGCAATAGAGGAAATTCAGCCTAAGCAAATTCCAAGGAGGGAGGGAGCTCAAACACTTCAGCCATACCATTCCAAGTCCAAGCTCAACAAGGCAAGCTCAAGCCCACAAGAAAAATGCCCAAGTGTTGAAGTGGTCTAATCCAACCCATGTCTCATTCCAAAGGAGAAGGTCCACATGAACCCTATTGGACCATTTGCAAGATTCTCAAGGCCCAAACTTTTACACCCTTATTAGTAGACTTAATTAGAGTCATTGATCAAGTTCTGATCTAAGAAGTAAGTTTATTTCAACTAATGGGGTGGTTAAAGACAAGATCCTAAAATTAGGGAATCATGCTCTTTTGCATTAAATAGGCATGACCTTGCTTTTTAAATGAATGAATTATAATATTAGTTAATTTATTTCATCTTAATGTATTTGTCAATTACTTGTTTATCCTGTATTTGCCTATATAAGAGCAACTATTTCCATTGTAACATTTAGCTTATGAAATAATGAAAATTGGTTATACCATTGAGAGAGAACTTTTGTATTCTTTGTTTGTGTATTCTTTATCCAAGTCTTGGCAAGGGATTTGGGGGTGAATCAATTCAAGTTGGTGGAACAATTTTATGCTTGAAGTGTTTCTATGTTTTGGTCAAAAATTGCAAGTAAGTGTGAGATTGTCGTTTTGTATTTGGCCGAATTTTAACTTAGATTTATGGCATGTTGTGTTGTTGAATTGGTTGGAAATAAATCATTTAGTCGAGCTTAGGTTGTGAAGTGAAGTAGAATTGTTTTAGGGTTGAATTTGTTTAGTTTGGCCAGAAATTGAGTTGGAGTTGCCGGATTTGGAAGTGTTTGGCTTGAAATTGTTTTTTTCCAATTAGCATTTCATGAACCTCTTTTTCTTTCCTAAACACTATATCCTAACCAACTCTCTTACATCTTATTCCCTTCTAACCAAGTTTATTGTCACCTCACCCAATCCTAACAAATTCCTTCCAAATCAACTAAACCTATTCCTTCCCAACCAAACCAACCTTAACCCTCAACCAAACCTTAAACACAATTAATTAACCTAATCCTTACTATTCATAAATACTATTCACTTCAACCAAAATCACCAAAACTTATACACTTGACTTTCCTCCCACTTTTCATTTTTCCAATATTAAAAAAAAAGTTACTGTTCACCCAAAGTTATTGTTTATAATAGCTAAAACTCACCCAATTTTCATGACAAACAAGACAATTTCCTCCCCAACTTCACCCCCACCACATGGGGTGTGTCAACCTAAAAATTTAAGAGGAACTTGATAGTAAAGAAGAACATGTCCAGCAGATAGAATTGGTGGTTAACATGTCTAAAGAGATTGCTAATCTATCCCAACCCAAATCCACCCTTGAAGAAACCCTATAACCGCCCCACAAGAAGGTCGAAACCATCATCAGGACACCACTACATATGGAGAACTTACGGAATAGTAGTGCTTCCTCTAGTGAATCCAAGGCACCTAGGAGGAGAAAAGTTGATGATGATAAGGGTATTAAGATAGACTTACTGAATTCAATGGAAGTTTTGACCCAAATGACTTCATTGATTGGTTGCATGAGATTGAATGAATATTTGAGTTAAGGACACAATGATGAGAATAGGTGTAAAGTAGTCATATTGAAGTTCAAGGAGTATGCCTCCTGTGGTGGGACAATACAAGGAAGAAGAGAGAAGAGAAAGGAAGATAGAATTAGGTATGGCAGAAGTTGAAGAAAGTGTTGAAGAAAAGATTCCTGCCAACAATCACAAGCAAGACCTTTATCTTAATTCCATAATTTGAAGCAAGGAGATAGAAAAGTTAAAGAGTATATTGGGAGTTTGAAGGGTTGATGTTGAGAAGTGATATTTCAATGAGAAAGAGCATAACATTGCAAGATTCATTGGCGGTTTGAGTAAAGACATTGCATATAATGAGTTGCAAACTTACCATTCTTTTAGGGATGTTTGCAAGCTATCCACAAAGATTGAGAAGTAATTGAGAGCATGAAGTCCTTGACCCCCAAGAAGCTCTTAAGGAAAATACTACCAAAGGGGTTCACCTTTCTACACCAAACCATATATGGCACCTACGAATTGGTAAGAACAAAACCAATGAAGCACCAAAGGAGAAAAGTTTTGTGAAGATGATGCTCAACAGCCAGATTTGAAGAGCAAGAAGTGTTTCAAGTGTCAAGGTTATAAACACTTCTAAGCAATTGCCCAAATTGAAGGATTATGACTCTTAGAAAGATTAATGAGATTGATGATGCATGTCAAAGGGATTCTAGTGAAGAAGAGGAAGTAGATGAGAATGAGAATGAGGTTATTGAGGAAGCGATAATGGGGAGAGCTTATGTTTAAGGGTTGCTGCATACTCAAGTAAACCCTCAAGAGACCAAAGGGAGAACTTGTTCATACAAGGTGCACCATCAAGGGAAAAGTTTGCTCAATGATCACTGATAAGAGAGTTGTACCAATGTTGTTTCCACCACACTTGTAGAGAAATTGGGGCTGTCGATTGTAAATCTTCTCATCTATACAAGCTACAATGGTTGAGCAATGGAGCACCATCCAAGTAGTCAAGCAAGTAATAGTACCATTCCCCATTGGCAAGAACTATTCGGAGAGGTGTTTTGTGACATCATTCCCATGTGTGTATAATCTTTTACTTGGAAAACATGGCAATATGACCAAGAGGTGATTCATGATGGCCGTAAGAACACCTACTCATTCAAGCTCAACAAGAAAACCATTACCCTTGCACCATTAGCCCCCACCCAAGCCATGTTCCAAGCTCCCCACAAACAACTTCAAACACTTTCCCAAACACCATTCAATGACCAACCCGAAAAGCACTTTTCCTAAATAGCACCCAATTAGAGAAAGTCTTCCTAAAACAAGCATCTCTTCACTCCTTATAGCTGGGACAAACCAAGAGAGAAACACCTAAATTTCACTCGAAAGTTCACCATCTCTTGGATAAATTTGCGGATGTTTTTCTCAAGAATTACCAAGGGGTTTGCCACCATTTATAGGGATATAACAACATATTGATTTGGATCCTGTGCCTTTCTTCATAAGGCCAGCATATAGGTATAATCTAAGAATCAAGAGAGCTTTAAAGGCAAGTTGAGAAGTTGATTTCTATAGGATTTGTGAGAGAGAGAGCATGAGTCCTTGCTCGGTTCCAGCCTGCTTGTGCCCAAGAAGGATGACACTTATTGAATGTGTATTGATAGTCGAGTCATTAACCGAATAACTATCAAATATAAGTATCTCATACCCCGATTGGATGACATGTTAGATGAGCTTTATGATGCAACCATTTCTCAAAGATTGATCTAAGAAGTGGTTACCATAGATTAGAATGAGAGAGAGAGAGATAGAGTGGAAAACGATATTCAAGACCAAAGAGAGTGTATGAATAGATGGTGATGCCCTTCGACCTTACCAATGCACCAAGCACCTTCAGAGGTTATAATGAGGTACTTAAGCTTTTCATTGGGAAATTTGTGGTTGTATTTTTGATGACATATTGATATAGTACATGTGATGATAGTCATGTAGAATACCTTAGTTAGTGCTTGAATTGTTGAGCAGAAAAGTTGTATGCTAAGCCTAGTTAGTAAAAACGTGTTATACGCGAATTATCGGCCAGCCGTCTATTAGCGTATAAAACGCATTTTTGTTATTTTATAAAATCTGTCGAATTATACGTGTATAATGTGGATACCTAATAATCGCGAATTATTGCACAAAAAAAAAAAAAAAAAAACAAATGCTCACCCTAAAATGACGTCGTTCTAGTGGAGTTGACTAAAAATTAAAACAAAGTCTTTCTCTTCTTTGGTTCTTCTTCCTCAGTTCTTCACGTTTTAGCTTTTCTTCATCTCTTGTTCTTTCTTCCAGACTTCAACTTCAAGTTCAAGACTTCAAGGTACACACTTGACACTTGTTTCTTCTCTTTGAATCTCATTGTTGTTGCTTGTGCTTGTGTTGGTGTGAGTAGTGGTAGTAGAGAGGCTAGTAGATTGATGGATTTGTTATGTTGGTGGATTGACGCGAGTCTCAATACCAGGAAATGTAGCCATTGACGCGAGTCTCAGGCTCTGATACCATGAGAAAAGTTCAAACTAAACCTAGAAATTTCTAGAGAGAAAAATATGAGAAGGCGAGTATGAATTTCATTGATTAAAAAAATGATTTTTTACAACCACTTAGAAACTTATACAAGACTTGAAACGCCACCGTTTTCACCTATTTACAATACAGTACAACAACTTGTGAACTTAATACTCTGGTCCTATGATAAAAACATCTTTGGTTAACAAGTGATAGCTGCAGTATGCATCACGATAACGCTGCGCTGCACTACTATTCGTTCCTTTCCCAATCCTAGCAAAAAGAAATATACAAAACATAGAATTTAATATACACATCACATTTTAAGAAGAGTTAAATAATGCAATTACAAAGTTTACATCCATATAATGTATGGCATTCTTAAAACAGTAATTTGAAAAGTTCTATGTAATTTGACAATCTTAAGTTACTTGATATAATATTAATAAGAATAATTGAACTATTATTTCCTGATACATTACCAGTTCTCAGGGGTAGGTCAGGATGACGAA